TCATTCCTCATTTCTTCACAAGATCTCCCCGTGCAGTCGTCCCTGGAGAAAGGCAGTGGAGAAGTTGAGGAAGTGGAGCTCGTAGTCACGCTGTGCTGCTACGTGTAGTAACAACCGAAGTATAGTCATCTACGGGGTCGGAGCGAAGGTCTGAAAGAAGTCAACCCCATCGCGCTGACTGAAGCCTCTTGCCACATAGCGCGCCTTGAACACCGGGGGTGATCCAGGCGGCCGCTTCACCTTGAAGAGCCACATGCCATCGACTACGTTTGCCCGGGGAGGGGGAACTGCGTCGACGTACGTGCCTTTGGATCTCCAAGACGACAACTCTGAGTCCATGGCCGCCTTCCACTGAGAGGCCCACGGCCCTGACACTGCCTCACGGTACGTGCGAGAAGTCGGTATGTCAAGGGCGTCGGGGTCTCCCTCAGGGGAAAGCAGCATGGCACAGAGAGTGGGAGAAGTGGCTGCCAGGTACTCCAGCTCAGAGTGCCTGTCCTCTAGGACATCACAGCCAAGGACAAACTCACCCCCGACGGACAGAGGACGGGTAGGCGGAGCGGGCACCACACGAGTGCCGTAGTCAAGGCGGCTGGCGGCGGCAAAGTCAGCGACAACGGCAGTGAGAGCCGAGACAGACGACGGAGAGAAACGAGGGTCGGTAACACTAGTGGTTAGAACGCGGGAGACAACAAGGCGAACAACACGGTAGTAGTCGGAGATAGGAGTAGGGGAGACAGGAAGAGAAGTTAGAGGAGGAGACGGGAGAACTGACATAGGAGGAGGAGATCGACGAAGAGAGGTCCCAAGGGGGGCAGTGCGGAGGTCGGTAACGGGGGACGAGGGACGAGCACTCGGAGGACAAGGACGGGAACGGTAGTGACGGAAAACAGGAGGAGGAGACTGCGGTGGAGAAGACCAGACCGCCGGACGGGCGTCAGGAGGAGAATATGTAGGATCAATCGCAGGAGGAGACGGAGAGCGGACAGGAGGAGAGGAGGGAAGACCAAGAGGGCCCGGAGGCCACTCACGGGCGGGAACAACTGCCGCTCCAGAGGGATCTGCTGCGGTGGCGGTGGCGGCGGCTGCTGCTGCTGTGGCTGCGGCGGCTACTCCTACGGCTGCCGCTGCTACTGCTGCCGCTGGTGCTGCCACTGCTGCTGCTCCAGCAGGTCTAACTGCCGCAACTCCTGCCGCTCCCGCTCCAACTGCTCCTGCTCCTCGCGTGCACGCCGGCAGGCCGCCTGGTAACGCGTGTCGTGGCGGTGGGGAGGCGGGGTGCTCTCCGCAGTCGTAGTGCCCCCAGAACTAGCACCCCCAGTATCAGTGTCCCCAGAAGGGGTACCAACCGGGTCAGGGTCCCCAGCTCCAGCGCCCCCTGTCCTAGCACCCCCAGTGCCAGGACCTCCAACTCCAGCACCCCCAAAACTAGCACCTCCAGTGCCAGCACCTCCAGCTCCAGCACCCCCAAAACTAGCACCTCCAGTGCCAGGACCTCCAGCTCCAGCACCCCCAGGGCTAGCGCCACCTGCGCCAGCACCTCCAACTCCAGCACCCCTCGAACGAGCACCCCCAGACCGAGTACCGCCAGTGGCTGCACCTCCAGCTCCAACACCAACCGAGTCCACAGTAGCCTGTCGCGGAAGTGCTGAAGGCTGCTGAAGGGACTGTGAGGAGGACTGCGGGGAGGGAGACGCTACCTGACGCGCAACCGAGGGTAGAGGGGTAGCGTGCGACACATCTGATGGGGCAGGGCCAAGGGGGGGCGGGGGTACCGGAGGAGCGGGAGCACGGGGAGGAGAGGGTGCGAGGAAGAGGGGGGGAGGGGGAACCGGGAGACATCGACAGGGGTATCGGGTGTAGTAGGACACTGACTCATCAAACCGGATGTCACGAGAGTCTAGAAGCTGGTGGAGGGGCGGGTGGTAAAAGGAATAGTCGGGAGAGCCCATCGGGAAGCCAAGGAAGACACAGGGGATGGCGCGAACCGAACGCTTGTCTGCAGAGGTGTCGCGGACAAGCGCAAGGCAGCCCCAGACGTGAAAGGCCGACCCAACACCAGGGGACCCAGTCCAAAGACTGGTCGGTGAAACCTCAGGCCGCGAGACATGCGGCTGGAGGTTCAACTGGTGCGCGGCGTAGCGCAGCGCGTAGGGCCATAGAAAACGGGGCGCACGGGCATGGATCATGGACGTGCGGGCGATGTCCATGACCAAGCCAATGTGGTGCTCAGCAACCCCATTCTGCTGTGGGGACTCTGGTAGCGTTTAGGACTGTCTAATGCCCTGCTTGCCGCAGAACCCGGCAAGGACGCCGGAGCAAAACTCACCCCCACAGTCGAAGTGGAGACAACTGACGCGACTACCACGAGTGCCCTCAGTGGCCAGAACTCTCAAGCTCACGATCGTCCACACGACTCGACTGACTAAGCTATTCATCCGTGATCGTAGTAGAAATAATTACGTTGTAAACTTATTTGAAAAGAAAGCTACACTGAAAATCCAGTGTAAAACAACCAGCCAGCATTGATCAATCGGGGTAGTTTCGTTTTTTTTAGGGTGCAGCACTGATTGATCAGTGTGCCCTAATTCCGATCTGAGGCCTACGCCACACGAACAAGAAGATAGATAGCTAGCACAATGATTGATAGCAAATATTACAACCTTGCATGCTATGTACCTTTGAACATTCACGAGATACAGAATAAGTAGGCTGTATCGATATGCTCTAATTCTTCGACACAAACATTGCTGGCATCACATTTTAAAACCTCACTACCACCACATTCCAAACCTTGCTGCCATCCCATTCCAAACCTTGCAGCCATCATATACCCCATATCACTTCCCCATTCACATCCGTGCATCCACCATGTACGGGGTCTCCACCTAGAGGAACCCACCCTCCACCTCGACGTCGTCCCTCTCTCTGTCCACCAGATCAACGCCCATTCCCCCCATGGAAGACGCCGCATGAAGCAGGTTGACATGGGCTTGAGCCCATTGTAACGCCACCCCAATGAGCGCCTTCAAAGACCCCAACAGATAAGCCGGAAACATAGTGTTATCCTCCCGACATGCCCCCTGTGACACAGCTAGCCCCATGTGCGCGTCCCCCTGCTGTCAAAGCCACCACCAAAAACGACCGCCTAGACACCCCCGCGTCTCTACTATCAGAGGGGTGAACTGCACGCCCCGGTTGCGTGCAAGCAGAGGCGCGCAATCACCGTTTTTCGACGCTCCCACTCCCTTGCCGCCACTCCTATGGAACGCCCGCACTGCCCTAGCAGAGATGGAGACAGCGATAGCGGGTCCGCGACGCTGATCTCTAGAGCGAGACCCCCTCCGGCCATTGGCCATCGCACCGCACTATCCTCCAATGTCACCACCCCCCCTGACACCTTAGAGATGGACAGAGATGGACTGTGCTGGTGCTTGCATCTCAGGACATGATGCGGGTCCGCTGGGTCAACATACGTTGTCCTGCAAACACACCGCCCCGCCACCTGCAGCTGCTAAATTGGGAGCCCGAGCCGTATAGCTGCAGCAATGCCCCACTCAGCCGCGGTGAATGTGAGATTTGAGTGAGCCGGGACCGCTGAAACCCATGCACCAGCCCCTGGGCCCTGAAGGGATGTGAAACGGGCCAGGGTAGCATCGTCACGGGCCAAGCGGCGCAGTGTCTCTACAGCCAACTGCCGCTGCCGCGCCTAGAAAAGCCAAAGAGGAGGGGCCACTACGCACAGAGGTAAGTCCGGCATCTCCTGGCGTATAGTCGCAGGCAGCTACTCAAGAGCCTTAGCAAACCACAGGTCAAGAAATTCTGCCCCTGCCGAAGCGCTGAGGTGCTCTGCAAACATCGCCTCCTCGCCCGCCACCCCTAGCTGTGCGATATCGCCTGCAGCCTGCGCCCACCCACACACATAGGACAGTGGGCTCAAAGAGGCTGCCGCCCGGATCCCAAACCCTCCGGGTCGCACAGGAAGGTGCAGCTGCATGTGTGCACGCCTAGACCGGTCGGAGTCCTATTCCCAAGTGCCAGGTGGAAAAAGCTGCTCAGAGCAATCCTCCATACAGCTGTCCCAATCCCTAAAAGCCTCCACCACCTCAAGATGTGGCGGCATAGTCCGGGCGAGTTACAACGGCCGTGCTGGAACTGCAATGGCAAGGAGATGTGAAGCCATCTGCGGGTGGTTGAGCAGGGGGAGCCATGGGCAATGGCGCCTGCAACTGTCGAAGCCGCTCCCATAACCGAACCACCTCCCAATCCTCCTCCCCAAAAGGTACGCCCACCACAGTGAGGCCCTCCTCCACCCGCTGCATCCCCAATGGCAGTGCCCGCTCCGCAAGTATTATGATCGATAGCTAGTACAATGATTGATAGGTAGTATAATGACATGTACTAGCACTTACCGGTATGTTTTCTAGCTCGAGGTGCATGTTGTAATTTGTCAATTGAAATGAGAACAATGCCTAGTTGAAATGAGAACGATGGCAAATGATAAGTATAAAAAAGCAAGCTTTTTCAATATATCTGGGAGGTTGCGGCAGCTAACGAGCCGAGGGTCTCTTATGCTGGCACACTGCTATCAATGGCACATGGGCCAAGTGGCACTCGACTACACTGAGGTCTTGCATTGATCTATTCAAAGATCAGACCATCATACGATTGTCGGATTTAAGTTGTTGGAAACATATACCGTGATCTCCCGGTTACAAGACTCCCCCGCATAAAAGCCCCGTGGGTCTTTTATCCGGACCAATGGTCTTTTATTTATTCAGTCATGGAGAGGACCCACCCTTTGACCCATTTCATTATAAGACCCCCCCTCTTCCCAAAACTCTGGTTTATAAGCATTCTTTCAATAAATTTACTACCACATCTCTAGACTACAGTTAAGTTACTCTACTAAACAACGATACAATGTTAGATGCTACAATACCAGCAAACTACCGCCCGCAGGCGCTAACCACCGCTAACCTACCTACTGCTACAGCATACTACTCCTCCTCACTGTCCACGCCGTCCACCTCCTCCATACCGTCGTCCTCCTCCTCCGGTGCCTCCTCGTCCCGCTCCTCCTCCTCCTCCTCCTCCTCCTCCTCCTCCTCCTCCTCCTCCTCCTCCTCCTCCTCCTCCTCCTCCTCCTCCTCCTGGGCAGTGGCGTACATGAGTTTCACCCACTCCTCCACATCCCCCGCCGCGTGCACGTCGTCGTGCACCTTTACTTGAGCCGAATCGCGCATGTGCGCGAGGATCAAGTGATCCTCGCGCTCATCGGGGTTGTTGGTGATGCCGCATGTCTTGAACGAGCGGACAATGAGGTCCTCAGGGACGGCGGTCCAGGCCGTGGCGATCCACAAGAGCACCAACTCCGTTGGCGGCTTCCTGAGATTGCCTGCAGCGGTGAACAGGCACAGATGCGTTAGCATGCAGAAACCGTAGCTGGTGGTACAGGGGCGCAAAGACGGTAAGAATTTTCTTACCGGCAGGGGTCAGGGTGTCGATGCCGAAGTCAGCAAACCAGTCGTTGTACATCTGCCGGATGCCCGCCTTGAAGGACCGATTGATGCTCACGTCCAGCGGCTGCAGAAGAGGCGTGCAGCCGCCAGGGATGATCGCTGGCGTGATGCGATGCCAGCGTAGCGTCCCCCGTACCGAGTCTGTCAGATGCCCACGGTATGAGTCCAGTACGAGTAGCGTCCGGCTGCGGTGTCTGCCTGGGCGGGGGCGCGTGTGAGGTACCAGCACATTCTGCACCCAGTCCTGGACGAGGCTGGTATCCATCCAGCCTCGTTCTTGCGCTCGAACGAGCGTGCCTGCACACAGAAAGCGCATACTGTCATAGGGGGGCAAGCATGCACAAGACAAACCATGCGGTTAACAGGGACACACGCAACCTCTGACCTGGCGGGACACGGATGTTGGGGATGGTCTTCCGCTTGAAGATCACCATCGGCGGTAGCTTCACACCCATCCCCGTGACCGCCAGCATCACGGTCATCCGTGATTTCTCGTAGCCGACACTTCGAATGTGAACCGCGCACTCGCCACGATTGGCCAACGTCCTCTCGTGCGGCATCTCGAGGAACACCGGCGTCTGGTCGGCGTTGACAATGTTCCAGGTGTCGATGCCGTCTCGGACCACTTGCCTCCTGCAAAACTTTCAGAAGCTTTCACACTTCGTGTTGCAATCTGCACGTAATCTTAAAAAACATTCACCCACGGTTGAGTTAATCATGTCGAGCAATAAAAGTCTCCTTTTGTAAAATTTACGCACCTTTAGTAAGCCGCTGCCAGATCTTCGTCTTCACCCGCACGGTAAGTCCCCAGCGCCGGCGAAACCTGACCGTCCATCGAGGAGAGGCACGCCAGTCAACCTCACGGTGCCGGTTCTTCATCAAAATCCGGCTCCACGTCTGCAGCAGCTTAATCGGGACCGCCAGGCCCCGTGACCTGTGGCTCAAAAACTGCTTGTAAACTGAACTTCCCATGTCAGGGTAGCGGGCATGCCGTCCGCCACCCGCAAGCTGCAGACGCCTGCCAGCCGACGCTGCCATCTCTTCAGACGCCTTCCTCCAGCGGCGGATGCTGACTGGTTGAACGCCGGTTAGCCGTGCAATTTCGCACACCGTCAGGATCTCATCCTTCATCCGCTTAAGCCAACCCGTCTTCTCAGCCATGGTGCGAGCGTGCCGCTTGTGCTGGTTAATCCTGTTGCGGGGGTTACAGCATCACGTGCGACCGCGGTGGGGTTGACATCGCGCAGCACATCAGCGGGGAACTGGGGCAGAGGGAAAGGAAGGTTTTCATCGGTCGCTGCGGCATTTTCGCTCCCCTCGTCATCGGTAGAAGACGCGTCGGGCTCCGGCGGACGAGGAAACTCTTCGCCGTCGTTCACAGGTTCGAAGTGGTAAGGGAAAGGGGGCACGGGTGGCGCCGGAGGAGCGGGAGGTGCGAGAGGAGAGGGTGGAGCAGGCGGAGCTGGCGGGGCCGGAGGAGCCGGCGGGGCTGGTGGAGCCGGGGGTGAGTTCGCCATGGCTGCAAGGCCGTGGGCTGCACTGACAGCTCGCATCTTCATCAGCATGTCCAGCGCCGACATGACCGCGTCTGTAGGGGAGTGCGGGCTAAACTAGCGGGAGAGAACATGTGGCTAGAAGAGTTAAGGGGAGGCTTTCATCTCAGAAAAAAAACTGAGAATGAGCCTCATCGACCCTGATTACCCCCCTCTGAAGCCAGGGAAGACAGGGACGTGAGCTGGGGGGGTTCACGTTCCCCGTGTCGCATGCAATCCAGCTGTGCACGGTGGAACGTTCCCGAACCCATCAATGGAGGGAGTTCACGTTCCTCGTGGCGCATGCGTTCCAGCTGTGCACGGTGGAACGTTCTCGAACCCAACACCCCATCAGATGCAATGAATCTGATGGGGTGCAGGTTGTGTGGTCAATCCTCCAATCAAGAGCAGGGGCGCTGCGCCAGCACACCCTAGTGTTGCCGCCGTCATGCTTCAATGTGTGACGTGTGGCATGGGGCGAGGTGCGCGAAAGTTGCGATATGGTTCCTCGCTTACAGGCAAACTCGAATTCTCTGAGGGAAAAAACATGAATTTACTCAACACTCTCCCTTACATTCCATATTTCGGTAATTATTAGATGTCCAGGGGTCTTATGCACTATATGTCATTACATAAGACCCCACAACCCATTTCGAGCACATTTAGGATAAGACCCCCGGGTCTTGTAACCGGGAGATCACGGTAGTTCGTGCTTCTGATGTGTCGAGCACTACAATGTAAGCAAAGAGAACTACAGCGAAGCAAACAGCGAGTCAACCAAAGCGGTTGACAGAAAATGCGACAGCAAGAGGTTAAGCGAAGGTCAAAGGTCAGCGACCTTTGACTTGCCGAAAACAGCGCGACAGCAAGGACATATAACTGACTCGCTATTGAGCAGTTACCCAAGTCGTCGCTGTATCGAACCGCAACAGCAGTTACATTAGTTGAACGCTTCATATTCCTTGTAATTTTATAAAAGCCCTATACCGTATCGCCCCGGATATAACCGCAGGCCTATGTTAAGCGCATGTGCTTCTATCTGGAGCAATGCGCTTATGGCCGATCCTCAATTAGAAGCGCACCCTCTAAAAAAACGTTACTTACTATAAGCGCACCCTTGCTGTATAGACAAGAATGTCTGTTCTTTTTTTTCACTTTCTTTACAACCTACGTACAAGCTACATTACTCTAGCTAAAAATTTCAACTAAAATTTTCAAGTCAATACATTAGATTAGCATCCTAGCCTACACACCATTTTTAAGATTAGTATAGCATAAGGCCTACTCCTCGTCCGATTCAGGCTCCGCGGAGTTGTTGCCAAAGAACCCGTCTGCTTGGATGTCGTCATCAACCTCTACCCCGTGGGACAGCTGACCTCTCCGGTGCGCCAGCACCAGTCCGTCTTCACTCCCGTCAAGGGCATTGCTGATGCCGCAGGTGAGGAACGCTCTCTTAATCAGGTCGGCGGGCACAACTTTCCGCGCCCGTGAAATCCACTTGAGCACCACCTCTGGAGATGGTTTCTTGATGTTCCCTGCACCACATACACGGGGGTGGGAAACACGTGAGTCCACAAGCAGGCAGACAAGCAGACAAAGCGGTCACGGGAGAACACTTTGCGTAACTGCGGGTGTTAGGATGTTCATGCCGTCCTGCTCGAACCAGGTCTGGTACTGCTGCCGAACACTCGCCTTGAAGCTTTTGTTGACCGACACATCAAGCGGCTGCAAGTCTGCCATGCATCCCGCCGGGATGACCGCCGACACGATGTTGAGTTCCGCGAATTTCGCCTTGACTTCGGGTGTCAGGTGTCCACGATAGGAGTCGAGCACCAGCATGGCGCTCCGGCTCTGCAATCCGAACTTCGGTTTCAGGAACGGCACCACGCCTGCATCTAGCCACTCGATGACGCCCGAGGCCTCCATCCACCCGTTAGCTTGGCAGTCGACCACGACATCTGCATACAAGCAAGCGGTGGTTAGATTTTACTTTTGTTTTTCCCCTCAGAAACACGCGCATACGCAGCTTCTTACCGTTCGGGAAGTCACCCTTTGGGAGGGTCTTGCGCTTGAAAAACACCCACGGCTTCAACTTCTCGCCCGTCGCCGTGCACGCCAGCATCACAGTGACTTTCTCTTTCTGGTAACCACCGCTGCGGATGGGCACCGACTTCACGCCCGTCTGCTCCATCGTGGTAGTCGCCGGCATCTCCAGCCACAAGGGCGTCTGGTCGGCATTGATGATGTACCGATTGTCGATGTCGTACTCGTGGCGTGCGTCTCGGACAAACTGCCAAAATTCCTTGCACTGCTTTGCCACGTCTGCGCACGGGGAGGGAGGGACGGTTAAAAGGGCGGATGAGCACCGCTACAGATAAACAGACATGGGCAAGAAAGTATTGAGATACAAGATAAAATTTCACAATAGGATGACAGTGCACTAAGAGGCACTTACGCTGCTGTGTCTTTTGCGCCACCTTTGTTTTCATGCGCACGGTGAGATTCCACCGCTTGCGGAACCGCTCCGTCCAGCGCTGACTCGCCTTCCACTTGACGTCCGGGAACAACACCTTCATCACCTCTTTTGACCAGTCTTGCAGCCGGCCGACTGATACTGCCACACCGCGGCGTCGCCAGTCCAGGAGTTGGGCGTACACCTTCATCTCCATGGGTCTGTACCAGGAAGACCTTCCGCGCCCATGAAGCCGACACCGAGCGCTGTGTGCAGCCTTGAGCTCCTCCGCTTGGTTTTTCCACTCCGTGAGGCATTTGCGGTGTATGTCGGACTCCCGCACGACCTGCATTATCGATGCCGCGAGCTCCAGCCGAACGAGCCACTTCAGTTTCTCCTGGGCGGTGTAGCGCTGCCGTTTGTGTTGAGCCGGCTTGTACCTGGGAGAGGGGGGGCGGGCATCTCGGTTCTCAGAGGAGGGGTGGGGTCGTTTTTTGTTAATCGGCGGATATATTGGTATCGGCATCTTCTCGCGTGGTGCATCGCGCCACCAAGATTCCACATCGTCATCGTCCGCGTCTGTAGCTTCACAATCTGGGAACACGTCCTCCTCGGCGCCCTCTTCACCGTCGACTCCACCGTCGCCTTCAGCGTTGCCGTCTCATGTGGGTTGTTTATCGGCGGCCACGTCATCGTCGGCGCCCACAGCCGACTCGTCCCACGTGCAGGCTTCAGGATTTCCCCACCGCGGTGCAGTCGGCGGAGCATCGATTCGCCTAGCCTTGGGTGTGTCCGGTTCAGACAGCCACTCGTCGAAAGTGGCTGGCAAATACAGCTGGAGCACGGGCCGATGGTGAGAATTCGCGTCAGGAACAGGAGGAGTCGGAGGATTCGGAGGAGCGGGAGGAGCAGGAGGAGCAGGAGGTGCAGGAGGAGCAGGCGGAGCAGGCGGTGCAGGGGGTGTAGGTGGCACTAGAGGCGCTGGTGGTTCACGTGTATACCACCCGTCCGAGGTTAGTCGCCACGCGCGAGTTGGTTTCTTCTTGAAAAGGAAGTGCGTCCCACTGAATTCCGCCATGGCTTCGCCAGCCAGGCGGGCTAGACTAGAAACTGAATGAAAAAAATGAGGAGGAGGGTGCAGAAATGGGCAACGACGGGGACCCCTGCGGGCTAGCGGCTCGGGGTCCTCGTCAATGACAGGCAGGAAACCCCCGCCTACCGCCGTAGAGGAACCTGCGTGGCAGCATATTCGCAGCGCTGGCAGGGAATCTTCCCCACCCTTCGAGAGGGTTCGGAAGAAATGCAGATGCCACGCAGCGCATGCGGCTGTGATTGGGCCGCACGGCAACATCCTCGTCACTGCTGTCACGTTCGATGGTTCTAGACAACTTTGTGCGGTGGGAAACCGAACCGCAGCTGTTTTTGCCTGGAAACCATGCACGATCCCACTTGTTGCATGGTCCGTTGGATTCGCCTTATTGCAGGCTTCAGTTTAGTATGTTTTCGGTTTTTGAATTTCATTTTTTCCTTATTATAGGCGCATGAGCTTATACAAACACCTCAATTAGAAGCGCACCCCCTCAGTTTAGTATGTTTTCGGTTTCCCGGTATCCCGGTTTCCCGGTTTCCCGGTTTCCCGGTATCCCGGCTTCCCGGCTTCCCGGTATCCCGGTTTCCCGGTTTCCCGGTTTTACGGTATCCCGGTATCCCGGTTTCCCGGTATCCCGGTATCCCGGTTTCCCGGTTTCCCGGTTTCCCGGTATCCCGGTTTCCCGGTTTCCCGGTATCTATTTTATTATAAGCGCACCTGCGCTTTTATCCGGGGTAATACATGGTATCTCTTTGCTATTATCAACTCATCTTGTTCTCACACACCAGTGCAAGGTGGTTCAACTAGTTCTCATTAAACGCTTCCGCTACCGTCATCACCCGGATATAAGACAGTGTTGAATAGTAGACAGGGGTTGTCTACTATACGGGTGTCTCTTATAAACAGGCTAGCCTCATTATAAGACACCTATTTGTGTGTATGAGATAAGACATATATGTCTTATAATCGAAACTTCAATAAATTATAGCGAAAGTTGAAGTACCACCTACTTTTTTACCCTTGCGAAGCGCGAATTCTTCCACGCGCTGACCCAGGACCTACCAAATTTGCCCCTGCAGGTGTTCTCCATAACGTGGCGTCTCGGGCAGAGGTTGTCGAAGTGGCACCTTCGCAACATCCACACGCATTATGAGAAACTCTTTTTAAAGAAGTACGGAAAATATTTCTAAGTAGTTTAAAAAGTTTCCATTTATAAGACTTATAAGACACCCTAAACCATCCCGTTTACAAGATAACTCAAGCATTTTTGCCCATGTACGAGATAAGACATATATGTCTTATATCCGGGCGATGACGGTAATACATCACCATCCTGTGTCTTAGTCTTGAACACGATCCTAAGGGCTTTTTTCTCAGCCCAACAGAAGTGACCTACCATATCACAATCACTTGCCACGCCACCGCCACCATCACGAGGCAAGTGTCAACCTACACGTGCTTCAGCTGCTCCACCTTGGCCAGAACCTTCCTGGAAATCTCCTTGAGCAGCCGCTCAACCGCCTTGGGGTCCTTGGCCCGCAGCGCCACCTCCCCGCCCTTGCCCGCCTTGGCCTTGCCCTTGCTGTCCACGGGCTCACTGAACGCCAGGTAGTACTCCATGTCGCACACGTCGGCCAGCAGGTGGAACACGGGGTCGGGGTCGTCCACGGGGCGGATCTCCAGCACGGCGGCGCCGGGCGGCATGAAGACGAGGTCGGCCAGCAGGTTGTCGTGCGGCGCCACCAGCAGGTGCGCGCGGTTCAGCAGGTCCTTGCGGCGCGGGATGCTGTGCGCGCCCTCGCGGTACACCACCACGCGGTCGGCGGGGAAGAGCTCCTCCAGCTGCTCCTTGAGGCGCAGCGACCGCAGCAGCTCCTCGCGCGAGTTCTTCCACCCCAGCAGCACCACCCAGTCGTTGCGCGGCGTGAACGAGTCCTTGGGCGGCGGGTTCTCTGCTACTGCTGTGGGGCGGTAGTCTGAGGGGGAAAGAGGAGAGTGGAGCGCAGTGCAGCGTGGGCATGTGGATTGGTTGGCCGGTTGGTTGGTTATGAAAGTGGCATGTAGAATGAAAGCAAGGAGGAGCGTGGGACCTGCCTGAACGTGAGTCCATCTGGGAGGACTCTGAAGCCACACCAAGCGGGAGCTGGGAGAGGGGGGCTCACCAGAGGGGCGCTCACCAGAGGGGCGCTCACCAGAGGGGCGCTCACGAGAGAGAGAGTGGCTCACCGGAGTAGAACATGGGGAGGCCGTTCTTGGGCAGGAAGTGGTGGTTGCGGATGTACTGCCACATGGCGCGCGATGGTTGGCCGCAGCGCTGGTGCAGCGGCTGCGGTGGTGAGGGCCAGGGGGGAGGGTAAGGTGTAAGATGAGATGGGAAGCAAAGAGAGGAGGGAGAGGGCGCCAGGTGATGAACCGAGGGCAGGCATGACAACCAACAGAGGCGCATGCAGGGGTGGGCGTGCAGGGGTGGGCGTGCAGGGGTGGGCATGGGTGGCAGTGGAGTGGCGCATCGGACAATTCGTGGCACCCTTGCTTGCAGGGGTGGTGCGAATGAGGGATGAGGGGGAGGTTTAGAGTACAGTTCGGTGCATGGCAGCAGCGGGCAGGGACGAGAGGGAGGGAGGGGTGGAGGCGTGCATGGGAAGCTGGACAGCACGCATGCACCCGTGCATGCCGATTCCTTCAACCCTGCAGCCCCTCAGACCTTGCAGTGAGGTTTCAGTGTATCCCCAAATCCGACTGCAAGTCCATCACTTCACTCACAGCACCATGGTACCCCACCTCCACGGCGCCCCATCTCGCCAGGGCGCAACACCCTCCCCACAACCCCACTCCCACCTCCTCCTTTCCCATCCCAATGGCACCCCCCATCCCCCAAAACGCACGCCACCCCCCAAGGCACACCCATCTCCCCCCACCCCCGTGTGAGCGCACGAGAATGAGCTTCTCAGCGAAGAAGAGGTCGGCGCCCTGCAGCACGTGCACGTTCATGCGGGAGAGCTGCACGCCCAGAATGTCCTCGGCGCCCAGCGCCAGCATCTGCTGCATCTGGTTGCGCCGGTGCGTGAGGCGGTGCCCCACCGCCACCGCCACGCCCCTCATCGCCGCCATCACCTGCACCGGGTGGGGCGCACGGGCGGTGGGGAGGGATCCGAGGGAAGGACGGGGGACAGGAAGGACAGCAGAGGGCAGACGAGGGTGGAGAGAGGGTGGGGTGAGGAGGAGGGGGGAAATGGGTTGGGAGCACACAGGTTTGAGAAGGGGAGGGTGAAGGCATGAGGTAGAGCAGGGCGGCTTGAGAAGGTGTGGCAGCAACTGGCGGTGGAGGCGAGGCGCTGCAAGCGTTGCTCTCGCGTGCCGCCTGATGACCAGTGCTCGCCTGATGACCAGTGCTCGCCTGATGACCAGTGCTCGCCTGATGACCAGTGCTCGCCTGATGACCAGTGCTCGCCTGATGACCAGTGCTCGCCTGATGACCAGTGCTCGCCTGATGACCAGTGCTCGCCTGATGACCAGTGCTCGTGGCCTGGCCTATGAGATGCGCGCGGGTCGCAATGGGAGCGGCGCACACCTGTCTGACCCGCACGCACGCACCTTCCTAAGGGAGACGAAGAGCGGGATGAGCTCGAGCAGGTAGGCGCGGGCGGACCAGGCGAACCAGTCGACGAGCGACACGAGCTCCTTGAAGCGCCGCACGCGCGTGCGCCCGGAGGCGTAGCGGAAGTTGGCGGCGGCGAGCGTGACGGCACAGGCGTTGTGGTCGAAGAGGTGCGTCTCGTTGAACACCTGGCCGGCCAGGTTCACGTACACGTTGTGTAACACCAGCACCTGGAACAAGGGGTGAGGGGGGTTGGAATGGGGGCGTGGGGTGATAGGAGAGGGAGTGTGGGAGGGGTTGAGTGTCATTGATCACCTGCCCTGCCACGCTCACATGCACTTGTGCAGCACCAACACAACACCTGCCCGGCCACAGGGGTGTGGGGGAAGAGGTGGGGAGGGGATTTGGGTGGGGGGAAGGGAGGGAGTTTTTGTAAGGGTGAGGCGCACTCACGCCATGTGGTGGAGTGGCGGACACTGGCAGGTGGGCGGCGAGCAGCGGAGCAGTGCAGTGCACTCAGGGGGGGGGTGGTTGGGATGAGCAGGTGTGTGAGGGGGGGGGGGAACAGGGCTACGGGGGAGGAGGGGGATGAAGGGGTTGTGGAGAAGCACAAGGCAAGTGGGACGAGGGAGGGCAAGGGGAGCAGCGACCAATTGTAAGCGCGCAACAGTGTTTGTGGAGGGAGTGGTGGGAGTGGAGGGAGAGGAGGGAGAGGAGGGAGAGGAGTGAGAGGAGTGAGAGGAGAGAGTGGAGGGAGTGGGGGGAGTGGGGGGAGTGGTTCGAGTGAACAAAGCGTCAACTAGCAGGTCCCTTCCAACCCTTCCCCTGCCCCCCGCCCCCCAGCCCCTCTCCCCTGTTCCCCCTGTCCCCCCACCTGCGCGGCACACTTGGGGTGGGTGGGGTTGGAAGTCCGTCTCCTGAATGCACCTCGCATGGTGACCTTTCAGTCGCCTCAAAACCCCCCCCTCCCCAAATCCCCCCGTTCCTCCCCTTTACCTGCGCGGCCCACTTGGGGTGGGGTTGGAAGTCCGTTTCCTGGATGCAGCTCTCGTCCAGCGACGGGCAGTTGGCGGGGTACCGCGTGGGCGTGCGGCTGCTGTCCGCCAGGGGCGCCTCCCAGCACGACCCCACGCCGGGGAGCCTTTCATATGCAAACTCAAAGTCGGGGCACGGGGGGCCGCGTGACGCGCGTGGCGGGGGGGCGCCCTTGGGTTTGGGCTTGGCCTCGTCGGAGAAGCGCGTGGCGTCGAGGTGCACGCGCTTGAGCAGCGTGCGCGAGATGTCCACCGTCAGGTACGACCGCTGGGGTGTGCCGCCCTCCAGGGGGAACTGCCCGTCCACCGGCTTCCAGTGCGCGTGTGGCGCGCTCAGGAACGCGCTCTCCCCCGCTCCTCCTCCGCCCGCCGCTCCCCCGCCCCCCTCTATCCCTCCCCCTCCCCCAACTGCTGCTGCTGCTGCTGTGCCCGAGGTGGCGCCCTCCGCGCCCCACTGCTGCTGGGGGAGCGCCTGGGCTGCCGTGCCACTGCTCCACCCGCTGCTCTCCCGGCCCCCTGCGCCACCCCACTGCCCGCCCTGTCCGCCTTGCCCGCCGTGCTGCATGGGCAGTGCCCCCTGCGGCATCGTCTGCTGGGGCTCACCCATCCCGCCCGCCGCTCCCCCTCTCAATCCGCCCCACCCGCCCCCGCCAGTAGCCATTCCCCCAGCTCCTCCGCCTATCCCGCCCGCCCCCTCCCCGCCTGGCATTTGAATCCCCCCGCCTGCCCCCCATCCGCCCCCCTGGTGTGGAAACCCGTTCCCCCCTCTCCCCGCGTCCCACCCTCCAGCGGCCCCTTGCTGCCCCCATCCCCCTCCCTGCGCCCCCCCCAGCCTATCCCCGCCCGCCAGCTGCCGCGGCCCTCCCCCGTCGTTCCGCCAGTCCCCCCCGCCAGCGCCCTGCCACCCGCCCGCCGCGCCCTCAAACCCGCGCCGATCCCCAAACTGCCCCCCGGCGCCTCCCCACTCCCCCCTCCCCATTGCGCCCCCGCGCGCGCCCCACTGGTCCTCCCCGCCCATCCAGCGCTCGTCCATTCCGCCCGCGCCCCCGCCCCGCCATGCGCCCATGGGCCCGCCGTGGCGGTACCCCGCGGAGTAGTCGGAGCGCGCGAGGAGGAAGTAGAAGAGCATTCCCGCGCCGCCCAGGAGCAGCAGCGAGCGCATCGACGCCCACCGCGCGTGCCCTGCGTGCGCGTCGGCGGAGCTGCTTGCGCGATCGGAGGCGCGCACGACCGCCTTCTTCTTCGGGCGCGGGGCCATCGCGCGCTGTGCAGGGGGAGGGGGAGCGGACGGGATGGGGGGAGAGATGGGGAATGCGGAAGGGAAAAATCAGGAGACGGAAGATCGGGCGAGCAATAGGAAACTGTGAGAGCTACCATCCTTGATGTTGCACGCCGTCGCACTCACCGGTTTGTCGCAGTGCGCGACAGGCGCACCAGTCAAGAATAAGTTAGACCGGACGTCAAGTGGATGACTGGGAGACGGCGGCAATGCGCGCGAGAATGTGCGGTCGGAACGTGTAGCATCTAAGGCGCCTCGAAAAAAAGTTGATGCAGAATGTGAAGGAAGAAACGAAGAAGAAGCGCGCCAACGGGGATCAGGGAGGAGAAGGCGAGGAAGGAGAAAGGAGCTACTCGGTGATGGTGTCGTGGCGCGAGTATTGGAAAGCCGTGCGATGGATTCCCAGGTGGTTGAGGATTGAAGTGATGGGGTTGGACTTTGTACCCGCTATAGAATACTACCGTATTACGGATCAGTCGGGCGAGCTGAGAAATTGCACATACTATGGGGCTTTATACAGCCCTTTCACATCTTGATCAAGTTTAATCATGAAGTTTCCACTTACTCAGCACTACATCTTGTGCGAGCTCCCCAACTCCAAACACTCACATATTAACATCACCTGCAGCTTGGCAACTTGGCTGGCTTCAAAGGCTTGTCATGTCAGGCTAAGCAACCCCAGTGTGCATTCTCGTTGTAAAGTCTTGTCGTCATTTATTCATTCCCATTCTCAACCGACTGCTAAATGGCTGCACTGAGCATTTATTCATTTATTTATTGCTTCCAGTGCACCACGAGCGAGAGCCATGCTCTAAGCCGTCTGCACGCAGTGGTGACTGGGCTGCCTCTCCCGTGCTTGGATGCTTCCAGCTTGCGGGCACACAACGGTGAAGTCCCTTCCCCTCCCCGTGCACCACGAGTGAGAGCCACGCTCTACGCTGTCTGCACGCGCAGAGAGGGCTGCCTCTCCCCTGCCTGCGGGCGCACGATGGTGAAGTCCACGCGCGTGCAGAACAGATCTCGCCCGCTGCTGTCGCGCGCCTTGAGCCACAGCGTGTACGCGCCCTGTGGTCGCCGGCAGGGAGGTGAGGGTATGAGGCAGGAGAGTGCTCACAGCAAGTGCGATCCAGGTCACAGTGCGCATGATTAAGGGCAGTGCTCACAGCGGGGGTGAGGAAGGGCAGTGCTCACAGCGGGGGTGAGGAAGGGCAGTGCTCACAGCGGGGGTGAGGAAGGGCAGTGCTCACAGCGGGGGTGAGGAAGGGCAGTGCTCACAGCGGGGGTGAGGAAGGGCAGTGCTCACAGCGGGGGTGAGGAAGGGCAGTGCTCACAGCGGGGGTGAGGAAGGGCAGTGCTCACAGCGGGGGTGAGGAAGGGCAGTGCTCACAGCGGGGGTGAGGAAGGGCAGAGGCTGCTGATTGGAGAAGGTGAAGGCGCCTGGCAGCACGGGGCAGGGCGTCTTGTCACACAGCTGCACCGTGGACGTGTAGACCGGCCACCCGTAGTACGCCACACTCACCCTCACAACGCCCGACTGGATGCACGTCGCTGGAGGAGGGTGGGGCAGAGAGTGGTGAAAGAAAAGGCAGAGGGTGGGGGTTGGGTAGAGCAGAGGTGGTGGTGGGTGGACGCGCCCATGGCGCACCATTGGACGCCACTGTGAGCGTCACTGCCGCTGCTGCTGTGGGCGGGGAAAGAAAGAGGTGTGGCTGAATGGGGCCGGGTGAGGAAGGGATGCAGCAAGGAGATGAGCCGAGGACGCGAGGGGCGCTGAGGAGCAGAGAAAGGGAGGAGGGAAAGGGGAGAATGATATATTTCTTATTATTTTTTTATTTTGTACACACGTAGTACGCAACCTACAGGCACCAACCCCCTGTCACTCACACACACACACACACACACACACACACACACGCACGCACGCACGCACGCACGCACGCACGCACGCACGCACGCACGCACGCACGCACGCACGCACGCACGCACGCACACACACACACACACACACACACACACACACACACACACACACACCTGTGACGGCGGGCAGCACAACGGTGAAATCCGAGCCGGCAACTGGTGGGTCGGGCAGCATGGTGACGTTCTTCACGGTGACGGCCACATGCTGGGAGCCTGGGGCAGGATGCGCGGAGGGGAATGGCAAGCGGTTGAGGAGAGGGAAGAAGAGAAGGTCCGTGAAGGCCTGATGATGACACCTGGACTCATCATGACACCTGGACTCATCATCACACCTGGCCTCATCATGACACCTGGACTCATCATCACACCTGGCCTCATCATCACACCTGGCCTCATCATGACACCTGGACTCATCATCACACCTGGCCTCATCATCACACCTGGCCTCATCATGACACCTGGCCTCATCATGACACATGGCCTCATCATCACACCTGGCCTCATCATGACACCTGGCCTCATCATCACACCTGGCCTCATCATGACACCTGGCCTCATCATCACACCTGGCCTCATCATGACACCTGACCTCATCATGACACCTGGCCTCATCATGACACCTGGCCTCATCATCACACCTGGCCTCATCATCACACCTGGCCTCATCATGACACCTGACCTCATCATGACACCTGGCCTCATCATGACACCTGGCCTCATCATCACACCTGGCCTCATCATCACACCTGGCCTCATCATGACACCTGGCCTCATCATCACACCTGGCCTCATCATGACACCTGACCTCATCATGACACCTGGCCTCATCATGACACCTGGCCTCATCATCACACCTGGCCTCACCATGACACCTGGCCTCATCATCACACCTGGCCTCATCATCACACCTGGCCTCATCATGACACCTGACCTCATCATGACACCTGGCCTCATCATCACACCTGGCCTCATCATGACACCTGGCCTCATCATCACACCTGGCCTCATCATGACACCTGGCCTCATCAGGACACCTGACCTCATCATGACACCTGGCCTCATCATCACACCTGGCCTCATCATCACACCTGGCCTCATCATCACACCTGGCCTCATCATCACACCTGGCCTCATCATCACACCTGGCCTCATCATGACACCTGACCTCATCATGACACCTGGCCTCATCATCACACCTGGCCTCATCATCACACCTGGCCTCATCATGACACCTGGCCTCATCATGACACCTGGCCTCATCATGACACCTGGCCTCATCATGACACCTGGCCTCATCATGACACCTGACCGCGAGTTACTGTGAAGAGGATGGAAGTAAGCAAAAACGAACAGAGGAGAGAGTTGATTGAAGGAGGTGATTGAAGGAGGTGATTGAAGGAGGTGATTGAAGGAGGTGATTGAAGGAGGTGATTGAAGGAGGTGATTGAAGGAGGTGGGTCGGAGAGGTGCGTAGCGAGTGGGAGAGGCGAGGGCGAGGAGGCGAGATGGGGAGGAGGTGCACGCAAGGAAAGAGAGGAGTCATGGGCACACGCGCATGGGGGCAGGGCAACGGCACTGGGGTTTGACAGCAAGGCGAAGGTGTGTGCGGCGAGAAGGGCTACTCTCGGAAAGAGTCTCACCACAATCGTGCCACTGAGCTGCGTTCACGTGGCAGGTGAGCGAAAGCAGGAGTGAGAGGAGGCACGGCACGAGGAGGAGCAACGCCATGGCTGGCTGGGCGGACGTCAGTGCAGCACAAGACACAGGGGGGGAGGGGAGGGAACAATAACCAAGGAATCCCGCATCGTTCAGATTTAAGGCTCAGAAGTTTAAGAGAACGTATACATTCGCTATTGGCGATTTCCTGACACCCTCGTCCCAGAGGCGAAGTAATTTTCTCCAACACCTCTCATCAGTGGTGGCCCAATCACATATATTCAAAAGTGCACTCAACATGTCGTTAGTGAGACGTGAGGATACGCCACTCGCTCCTTATTCTGTAAACGAGCACATCTAGACTCGCAAACCGGCAGTGTGAAAAGGGAGAGTCCGAGAAGCAAATGCCTGAAATAAGGTTACGGTGTTTACGCGCATGCGCCAAGGCCTCGCCCGCCCTCTCACTCTCGCGGAGGTCACGCCACCGTAACACACACGGCACGCTGGTGAAACGACACTAGCCACGCCCACCCGCTGTCAACCACAGGGCACAGCACCTCTGGCTCCCGCCTCGCCACCTCTCACGGCCTCGCCTCGACGCCCTTCAAAAGGGCCTCGCCTCTCCACCATTCGAGGCCTAGCTGGTCGTCCCAACACAGCCTCGTCCCCTTCCATTCGACGCCGCGCCCCGCCTCCTCTGACGGCCTCACTGTGCCTCGATTTGATTCCGCGCCTCCGCTCCCCTCACGATCTCGTTTCACCTTGCCTCGCAGGTTTCCGGCGCATAACCCCTGCCCCCCCTTCCTTTCCTTCTCATCTTCCCGACCTTCCTTCCTATCACACCTCTCTTCCTTCACGTCTCACCTGCCTTCCTTCCTTCCCATCCTTCTCTCTCTTCTTTCCCATCTCAGTTCCCTCCTTCCCTCCCTTCTCTCTCTTCTTTCCCATCTCAGCTCCCTCCTTCCCTCCTTTCTCTCTCTTCTTTCCCATCTCAGCTCCCTCCTTCCCTCCCTTCTCTCTCTTCTTTCCCATCTCAGCTCCCTCCTTCCCTCTCTTCTCTCTCTTCTTTCCCATCTCACACCCCTTCCTTCCCTTCTTCTCTCTCTTCTTTCCCATCTCACCCCCCTCCCTTCCCTTCTTCTCTCTCTTCTTTCCCATCTCACCTCCCTTCCTTCCCTTCTTCTCTCTCTTAGTTCCCATCTCACCTCCCTTCCTTCCCTTCTTCTCTCTCTTCCTTCCCAAATCACACCCCTTCCTTCCCTTCTTCTCACTCTTCCTTCCAATCTCACCTCCCTCCCTTCCCTTCTTCTCTTTCTTCTTTCCCATCTCACCTCTCTTCCTTCCCATCTCTACTACCTACCTTCCCGTCCTCCCCCCCCCTCCTCCCCCCCCTCCTTCTCAACTCCCCACCCTGCCTTCCCATCTCCCGTCCCTTCCTTCCCATCACCCCTTTCCTCCTTGTTAGCTCACCTTCCTTGGTTACAGTTCAAAGAAGTGTCGAAGAAGGGATGCGCGACGATGGGAACGGAGGCTCGATGAGAGAGGGTAGGCTCGACAAAATCAGGGGAGCCGCGACGAGGCGGGGAGGCGCGACGAAAGGAAACGCGACGAAAGGAGGGGCGGCGCGACGAACGGAGGGGAGGCGCGACGAACGGAGGGGAGGCGCGACGGAGGAGGCGCGACAATTGCACGGGAGGAGCGCAGAGGATTTGAGGTGCTTCGACGAGTTGAGGCACCGCGAGTTGCGAGAGATCTTGATACTTATGCCCTTGATAGCGAATTCGTAAACCTGGCGAGTAATGACCCTTCCAGCTCTCCGAGGCGATAAATTCTTAGGGCGTGTCATAAGAGTTCATTCGGTTGCGATCGGAATGTGCATGCACTAACAGTTTGTTAGGGCGCGTAACTATTTTGTCCTTACGGTTCGTTCTTCGAAGTCCGTTCTAAACGGTGTGTGATTGGTCGTCACTGCCTTCGCAAATAACCTTACGGATTTGCGAGGGCAGTGACGACCAATCACATGACGGTTTGTTTTTGACGAAATTGCAACCGTCATAAATTGCAACGCGCCTCTATAAGTTCTTTGCGTTTAGGTGCGTAAGGAGAAAACATTGATCCCGTATGACACGCCCTTACTGTCACACAGGTTAGGGGATGTCAACTCGTACGTTTAGTATACGTTCTTCGAGCTTATCTGTTGTGTAGAAGGCTCATACCATTCTGCACCGTAAAGAATCGCCCTAAGCCACGAATAATGAGTGGTAACTCGTTGAACCCCCGCCATGTAGTTTCACACACCTGCAAATGGGGAGTCACGTTTGGTCTCCAGAACCAGACAAGCCCTGCAAATGGGGAGGTACGATTGCGGAGACTCAGGCCGCGGTACATTTTTGAATCTAACGCGACAAATCAAGCCCAGACTCATGTCAAGTGGGATTGAGCCTCGTTCGAGATTGACGAGACTCGTTCGAGCCTCGCTATGCTGGCGGGGAGATACATCACCACTGTCGCACATGTCTCAGTTTCGCACAACTCTTGTAACCCGCTTCAGAAACCGAATTGAGACGGCATTGAGCGAACATTCGTACCTCGTGTCAGAACCAAATTTTCGCTCAGTGCCAAATATTGTACGCTGAAGTGTGAGCAACTCTCCGCGGGTTTACGTGGGTGGAAGTCTCGATGAGCAACCAGACCCTTCCCACGTAATAACACGCCGAGAGTTGCACGCATGATCTGGTCACCATTCCACAAGCCGCAACTGCTGTTTTGAAATCCCAAGTTTGGATATATTTTGCGTGCAACATGCCTTCCGCCTCATTGAATGGACTCTGCTACAGCCGTACGTCAGCATCCCCGATGCCTGCGCGGACCACGTACTAAAACATGCCGAGAGTTGCACGCAAGATCCATAATATATCTGTTCATCGTTCCGCGAGCCGCATACTGCTGCTTTTGATATCACCGACGTGCCTTCCACCTCATCGGATGGAGTTTGCTACAGCCGAACGGTCGTTATCATCCCCAATGCCTGCGCGGACAACGTTACTATGTTTGTGCTGGTGGAATTTCTCACACCACAGGGGGAGATTTCGGCGTATAAGCGGGACTGAGATTATCACACTACACCTGCTCTGGCGCCAGCGTTTGAAAGACTAAGCTGTATTTTGACACCTCCGTTCTACTACTACCAATACGGCGCTTAGTACTCTCGAGAGGGTGATCACCCGCCACCAAGGCCTTCCCGAGCTCCTGTGCGTCCGTGGAATGAGGGACATGGGGAAACGGGATGCGCATGATGTGAGAAAAAGGCAAGGGGTGCTCTTTGGTACTAGCACTAGTAGTACTACCAAGGCCCACCACGGAGCCGTTCTCCTGTGCGGCGTCCGCCGTGCAGCTCTCTGCTCCTCTGCTCCCCCTCTGCTCCTCCTTCTCCTCCTCCTCGTGCCGTTTCTCACCTCGTCTGTCGCCGCTTACTGCCTCGCAGCCTCCCAGTCCGCCCACCACGCCGCGTCGCAGCAACCAGCGCTGCCAGTTCCAGTGCCACCACATCCCAAAAATGCTTGGAAGCTAAACCTACCACAAAGCTAATTCCTAGTTACTTTGTGGTTGGTGTCCAGAAATCAGCCTTTCAGTTACTAGCGAACATACCTGAATCATGCGATGTGAGCATTGGGGCCTTCCGAACGTAAACATTCTTCAAAGTTACTTACAGGTAGGAATGAATGTGTGATTGGCGAAATGCCCGATTACTCACCCACATATCAGAATGCACACGAGAACCGGTAACACTGCATGTGCGAATCGCAAGGTCAGCAGCGATTTGTTCCTGAAATCGAGAAAGAGTCATTGCGAAGGTGTTTATTGGTCGAAATCAAGACAGGTAGATTGCAGTGCCGAATTGAAACACAACGCGCGTCACTGTGACAGTCGCCCCCTGAACTCTTTTTAAACTGATCCGTTACCTGTACACAGATATGTACAGTAAAATCCCGACAGGCAAAATAACATTATTGTAATGCATATTTACATTTGAACAACGCTGTTACACAACCGGTTAACTTGGTAACATTATCAGTCATGCTGCACATAAATTTTAATTTTCTAATCATAGCTTCACATTTCATAATAGCAGCCAGCCACGCACGACCTAAAAAACTGTATTTATCAACACGCACAAACATGCGCCACGTGCTGCGTAGTTGTGCTAACGAGATGAAATCAGTTCCTATGGCTAGGGAATAGGATGTAGCAGAGAACTGTGTGAAGAAATATAGTAAAAAAGGCATTCATACGTTGGCGCAGTGACATGTTGCGCACAGGCCTATCCTTGCACAGATTCAGACCAGCAAATGCACAAACATGCGCCACGTGCTGCGTAGTTGTGCTAAAGAGATCAAACCAGTTCCTATGGCTAGGGAATAGGATGCAGCCCTGAACAGTGTGAAGAAGTAGTGGTAGAAAAGACATCCAGACGTTGGCGAGGTGACATGTTGCGCACCGGCCTATCCTTGCAGAGATTCGGGCCAGCAAACGCACAAACATGCGCTACGTGCTGCGTAGTTGTGCACCGGCCAACTCGAAAAAGGACCCCTTCCCCCCCCCCCCCTCCCCCAATATCGGCAGTTCTACATTTTTTCTGATGTCTACATTATATTATATGGATGCAAGTGGAAAGTACGTCACTGCCTATTCACGAAATGACATACACAATAATGAACGTATAAACTCACTGAATGCTATCGATGTTGGAATTCAAAGGCAACAATATGCAATAGAACAATTAGAAGCATTTGTAGTTAGATATAACAACAACTTATTACAACAGAAAAAACAGAATATATACAAAGGAATCTTGTAACTGCTACCAAGGTTACTAACTATTCACATAGATTTTTCGAGTGCAGAGCAGTGACAGGCTTCGGATTCCAAACCAGCACATCGTGATGCTGGGATTGGTTGGATGCAATATTCTACGTGCGAGTTACTTCGAACTGAAACGTGTTGGTTGCGTTCCGAACCTGTAAACTTGCGAGTTAGTAACTGCAGAGTCACCTGACATACCAACAACATACCCCCAAACCACCTCGCTCAGAAGTTAACTTTTACAAACATACTTCAGGCGCCCACCATTTTTGGGATGCAGTGCCACCAGTGCCACCAATGCCACCGCCACGGGTGCAGTCTCTGTCTCGTCGCAACCATGAGGCCCCTCCCGCCTTGTCGGGGGCTCTGCGCCGACACCAACACGGGGTATCGCGGTTGGGGGTATCTCGTCCGCTCATTGCGCCCACTGGAAGGCAGAGAGCTGGTGGCGCGGGCCCGGCCCACAGTGGCTTGAGGAATAGGCGCCGGTCGTTGCTGAGGGAAGGGATTGAGGCCGAAACTCTGGCGTGGCGAGTCGGAGTCCCGTGCTGGCCGAATCGCAATGTGAGTCATTGGTGCTGCTGCTGCCGCCGCCGCCATCGCCGCCACAGTCACCGCTGCAGTCGCCGCCGCCCGGCTGCCGCTGCTGAATACTATGGCCCCCTTCCCCCCTCCTCCCCCCGTCCAAATCCTCTCTCACTCCTCCCCTTCGCGCTCATCATTCTTCCCCATTGCTCCCATTGTCCTCTCACCCAATGGGCCCATTTCGCTGGCAGTGGCGGCGCTGCTGCAGGTGCAGCTGGCGTAGGGCGCATGGGCGGGCAACAGCAACGCGTCCACGGCGTGCTCTGCATGGGCCGGCGTCACGTGCAGCCCCAAGGGGCTCGTTGTTGCGCTGTGAGTCACGTGTAGTGCTGCACTCGGGGGCATGTGGCTGCTGTGAGTCACGTGCAGTGCTGCACTCGGGGGCATGTGGCTGCTGTGAGTCACGTGCAGTGCTGCACTCGGGGGCATGTTGCTGCTGTGAGTCGCGTGCAATGCTTCACTCGGGGGCATGTGGCTGCTGTGAGTCACGTGCAGTGCTGCACTCGGGGGCATGTGGCTGCTGTGAGTCGCGTGCAGTGCTGCACTCGGGGGCATGTGGCTGCTGTGAGTCACGTGCAGTGCTGCACTCGGGGGCATGTGACTGCTGTGAGTCACGTGCAATGCTGCACTCGGGGGCATGTGGCTGCCCTTTGAGTTGCTTCTCTGATTCTTGTAACGTGCGTGGGAGTGTGTGCATGCGTGGCTGGTTCCGAGGATGTCGAGGACGCCAATGTCCCATGGATGCACGATTGTCATGCCAATGTTGCTTCCCTGGCTCTATCTCTATGTGTGTGTGCTTGCACATGCATGCGTGCATGTGCGCGCGTGTGTGTATGCGCGCAATGTGTGTGTGGCCATGCATGCATGTGTGAGCGTGAATGCATGCATCCGTGCCTGTGTGTCCATACATGTGTGTACCCCAAGTGGCGCCATACCTGCGTCCATCACGAGTCTCGCCGCTCTCCAATACCTGTCCGTTCCATCGCCACCCCCGCTTTTCTCCCTCGCACCAACCACCCATTCTCTCCTTCCCCTCCCACCCGTCAACTCCCCCTACCACCCACCCTTTTTTCTGTCGCGCTCGGTGTTGCCCACTACCACCGCCCAGCCCACCATCCCGCATCTTCCTAGGCTTGTTCCCCTCCCGCCTGCCACCCGCCCCATGTTGACACTTTCGCTGCCATGATTCTTGTTGCCGTTTTCTAATAATCTGGCACTTAGTAAAAACATAGTGCTCTCCCAAGTCTCTCCATCCGCCGTCACGCCCTCCTCCTGCCGTCTCTTATGTTACCTTCTTTATTCCATCACCTGCCCTTTCCGTATACCCGCCGTCCTGCCATGCCATGCGCACAGCGATCTGAGCTATGTTGATCTGGAGGGGCCCATTCCGTCCCTTGCCAGCCTCACCCGCCTCACCCACCTGTACGTGCGCTTTCCATGAGTTTAGATTCAACACCTGCGCGGTCTCTCTCGATGCCGCATTTGCTCTCTCTTTCTCTCTCGCTCCTCTCCGTGTCTACAACGAGTGTGTGTCAGTGCTGTGCCTCATGACCATGTGCCCTCCCCATGCTGTTTCCTGCATTCGTGCTGGCTTCTTCCCCCTTTCCCTCTCCGCCCGCACTCTTTCCCCCGATCCATTATGCCCCATTGCACATACCTCCCTTAGCTCCCACAACCCCCTGACATGCGACCCACCCTCCCCTGCAGGCTGCATCTGCCCCGCCCACCGCGTCTGCATCCATCCATTGCCTGTGACAATCCATCCACTCCTGTTGCTCGTGTGCTTCATTCCCGCAGATTCATAGGAGCAGATGGTTGCAGGCTGACTGGCACTCTTGACGGACTCTCTTGGCTTTCCTCCCTTCCCGGCCTGCACACGCTGTACGCCCTTCATGCATTCGTCATTCAATCTTTCTTTGCATGCCATGCCAGCAGTCAGACACAGATACAGACACACACGCGCGTGCACACACACACACGCACGAGCATGCGCACGCGCTCGCTTTCCCTTCTGTAACGCCTGTGGGCTGTGTTAATGGGCATTTCGCTGTGCCAACTAACACCCTCGTTTTGACCAAGTGAGTAGGGAGGTCTTATACCTTCCCTCTCTCTGTATTCTTACTCACCCCACACGCATGCGCTCCCTTCCCTCCCTCTGTATTCTCACTCACCCCAAACGCTCTCTCTCGCTCTGCATGCTCACTCACTCCACTCGCTCTATCTGTCGGCAGAGCGTGCGCAGAAACGTGAATAATGACGAGACAGGGCGGCAGGGCATCCTGCCCGAAGGCATGTCGGAGCTCACAGCACTCACCACCCTGTGAGTGGAATGGAGAGTGCTTGGCATTTGACAGAGTATGGCTCTAATTTAGCTACTGGCGCTGTGAGATTACTCAGGGACAACCAATCAGCGGACACAGTGGATTGTGGAGGCCAGCTTAATTGTTAGGGTTCAAGGGGAGAAACTGCCACCTTGTATTCTCTTCCCCGTTGGAAGTCTGAGTTTTTTTCATAATCCTGGAGAAGAATCAAAGCCTAATGCATCATTTGAAGTGCCATTCCTCGTTTAACCCCTCTTCTGCTGTTTCAACATCACGTGTGCTCCAATGCTAATGGTGGTGAGTACAGAACCCTTGCTGGAAACAATCTGGAGGGGAGCCTTTTCAAAAGCTGGTCCACTCTGGTCAATTTGGAAGAGCTGTGAGTCATAGTGCCCAAGTGCCATGCTTTGCCCTCCATGCTGCCATGCTGTCGTGCTCGGTTTCTGCCATGCTGTGCTGCAATGCTTGGCGTGTTCTCATGCTACCATGCTCCCCAGCTCCCCTGCTTTCATGCTATTCCATGAGTCGATTCTGGCTTTCACAGCTTGCATTGCATCGTTGCCACAAGACAAGCACACGTCAGGCATGACCACGGGTACGACCTGGGCCGGCCCGGGGCGGGCTGGCCATATTGCCAGGCCGGGCTCGGGTCCGACCAACCAAGCGAAGGCGTCGGCCCCTAGCCTAGCCGAATGTTACAGCCCGAGTATGGCTCGAGTCGGCCCGGCCCGCATGAACATGTATTGAAAGTTTATTTTGCTTAAAAGAAAAGAAAATAAATCATTCCAAGATCTGTCGTTGATGTGTCGTCCGAGTAGAGAGTCATACTTATGCGTCCTTCACACGTGCCCGGCCCGGTCCAACACCAAAAAGGCGGGCTGTGACCGTTAGTTGAGGCCAGGCGGGAATGACTGACACGTGTTGACAGCGGGAAAAAGACGGCCCTGGCCCGGCCAGAAAACAGGCCGGCCTGGCCTAGCTGACTTGTTTTTTTTTTTTAATCGTTCCCTTTTGCTGACTTGCTTTTCCCTCTGCAGACGTGAGTGCCTGCCTGAGTGCTTGAGATGGCTGTGCGTCTATCAGTAGTTACTGTGCATCTTCTCTTCCTTGCTGCAGCAAACTGTCCTACAACCACCTGCAGGGCGAGATACCAGAAGCGTTCTCTGCTCTCACCGCCCTCACTGCACTGTGAGTGCTGCTCTCCCCATGCATGCTGCCCTTTGACTATGTCAGTCGGTCTCTGCTCGGTTGCCCTGGGCGGGCCGGAAGAGTCCACGTGGCATTGAGTCGGTATCCTCCAGGAGCTCTGCTCATTTGCTCGGTTGGCTCTCCTCCCCCAAGAGGAGGATTTCCTTGTTGCAGTTGAACGTGGTGATTCAGCCTGGTTGTCCCTGGGCTTGCCCCGAGAGCAGGCTGTGGAGTTATTTCTGGGAACCTGGCTCCCCTCCCTGCCATCATGCTTTAGGAGTTTCTTACTGCATTTTCTCCATGCTTAGGTCTGGCAGCAGGGTGTCACCAGCTGGGGGTTGTGCATACTCGGCGCACTATTTTGTCGACAGCACGGAGGAGTCCGCACCTTCTGATGCGCTTGGTGAGGTCGGTGAAGCAATGCCGGTAGGGCGTATGAGCCAGTACGAGTAGGGCCTCTGAAGCAACGTCATTAGGCTGTATTATGCAATGGCAGTAGGGCGTATGAGGCAAACATTCTCTCTCTCTCTCTCTCTCTCTCTCTCTCTCTCTCTCTCTCTCTCTCTCTCTCTCTCTCTCTCTCTCTCTCTCTCTCTCTCTCTCTCTCTCTCTCTCTCTCTCTCGTGCTCTCCCCATTCTTCCTTCCTCCTTGCTGCCTTTGACAGCCTCTCCCTTCTTTCTGTGTTTGACAGCCTCTCCCTTCTTTCTGTGTTTGACAGCCTCTCCCTTCTTTCTGTGTTTGACAGCCTCTCCCTTCTTTCTGTGTTTGACAGCCTCTCCCTTCTTTCTGTGTTTGACAGCCTCTCCCTTCTTTCTGTGTTTGACAGCCTCTCCCTTCTTTCTGCCTTTGACAGCCTCTCCCTTCTTTCTGCCTTTGACAGCCTCTCCCTTCTTTCTGTGTTTGACAGCCTCTCCCTTCTTTCTGTGTTTGACAGCCTCTCCCTTCTTTCTGTGGTTGACAGCCTCTCCCTTCTTTCTGTGTTTGACAGCCTCTCCCTTCTTTCTGTGTTTGACAGCCTCTCCCTTCTTTCTGTGTTTGACAGCCTCTCCCTTCTTTCTGTGTTTGACAGCCTCTCCCTTCTTTCTGTGTTTGACAGCCTCTCCCTTCTTTCTGTGTTTGACAGCCTCTCCCTTCTTTCTGTGTTTGACAGCCTCTCCCTTCTTTCTGTGTTTGACAGCCTCTCCCTTCTTTCTGTGTTTGACAGCCTCTCCCTTCTTTCTGTGTTTGACAGCCTCTCCCTTCTTTCTGTGTTTGACAGCCTCTCCCTTCTTTCTGTGTTTGACAGCCTCTCCCTTCTTTCTGTGTTTGACAGCCTCTCCCTTCTTTCTGTGTTTGACAGCCTCTCCCTTCTTTCTGTGTTTGACAGCCTCTCCCTTCTTTCTGTGTTTGACAGCCTCTCCCTTCTTTCTGTGTTTGACAGCCTCTCCCTTCTTTCTGTGTTTGACCTTTGCCTTCATCTTACCTTTCAGAGATCTATCCTGGAATAAACTGTCCGGGAACATACCCCAAGCATTTACCACCACCATTCAAACGTTGTGCGTATTTTCTACTCTCCCCGCCCCTCTGTTAAGTTCCTCCTTTCCCCCACTTTTCTCCCTCTTCCCGTCCTTCCTGTACAACCTCTCTTCCTCTCACTCTTTACCGCTTACTTCATCTTTCGTTGCTCTGTTGCATGCATCTGCTTATGATGACATCTGTTTCCTTCATTCGTTCTAATTGCATCTCTTCTTGCATCTTACTGCACCTTTGCACAACTTCACTCACCCACCCGCTCGCTCTACCCACCTGCCCGCTACCTCGTTCAGGTCCCTAAGCAACAATGCGTTTGACGGTCGCATCCCACCACACCTCGCATTGCCCAGCCTCATAGACCTGTGAGTGCTGCCACATGCCTGCTGCACGATTCCACTCCCCTGCCCTTCTCGCCACCCTCCCTGAATTCATGTATGTTGGAATGCTACCAAGGAGCTCACTTCGTGTCAGGCTGTGATTTCTTGTCTATATTCGTGATTCATCCACTTTTCATCCCCTTTTGTCCTCTTTTCCTCCTCTCTTCATCCCCTCTTCCCCCTCTTCATCCTCTTTTCATCCTCTCTTTGTGCTCCATTCAAATTTGAACATCCTTACTTTCTCTCCATTTTGTTCTCTTTTTTCATCCCCTCTTCATTCCCAACTAATCTGTACACTTTCTTACCATCAAGTTGATTTCACACACTACATTCGTTGTCTGCCATGCGCACAGGGGTCTGGACTTCAATTCCTTCACAGGAGCCATTCCCTCCACCTTCACACGCCTCACCGGCGTCAGTAGTCTGTGCGTCCTCTGCCTGTCTTTGCGTCCTCCCCCCTAGAGATTGCTGGATTGCATAGCCATTGCCCATGTTATTGCCCCATCCTTTGCTGGTTATGCAATAATCCAAAACCTTGTTCTTTTCGCCGTCCTTCAATTCATCGCACCACCACACTACGCATTGCACAGCCCATGCCACACTCCGATTCGTTGCACCGCGTTTCATTACATGGCACCATTTCACGCCACCGTCGACACCCAGTTATTTGTCCAACAACGGTCTCAGCGGAGGACTGGAAGTGGTCGCTCAAATGACATGGCTGGCGGGCATGTGAATGGGTGACGGACATGTGAGTGGCCGACGGACATATGAGTGGCTGGCGGACATGTGAGTGGCTGACGGACATGTGAGTGGCTGACGGACATGTGAGTGGCTGGCGGACATGTGAGTGGCTGGCGGACATGTGAGTGGCTGACGGACATGTGAGTGGCTGGCGGACATGTGAGTGGGTGACGAACATGTGAGTGGCTGGCGGACATGTGAGTGGCTGACGGACATGTGAGTGGCTGACGGACATGTGAGTGGCTGACGGACATGTGAGTGGCTGGCGGACATGTGAGTGGCTGGCGGACATGTGAGTGGCTGACGGACATGTGAGTGGCTGGCGGACATGTGAGTGGGTGACGAACATGTGAGTGGCCGACGGACATATGAGTGGCTGGCGGACATGTGAGTGGCTGACGGACATGTGAGTGGCTGACGGACATGTGAGTGGCTGGCGGACATGTGAGTGGCTGGCGGACATGTGAGTGGCTGACGGACATGTGAGTGGCTGGCGGACATGTGAGTGGGTGACGAACATGTGAGTGGCTGGCGGACATGTGAGTGGCTGACGGACATGTGAGTGGCTGGCGGACATGTGAGTGGCTGACGGACATGTGAGTGGCTGACGGACATGTGAGTGGCTGGCGGACATGTGAGTGGCTGGCGGACATGTGAGTGGCTGGCGGACATGTGAGTGGCTGACGGGCATGTGAGTGGCTGACGGACATGTGAGTGGCTGACGGACATGTGAGTGGCTGGCGGACATGTGAGTGGCTGACGGACATGTGAGTGCCTGCCGGGCATGTGAGTGGCTGACGGACATGTGAGTGGCTGACGGGCATGTGAGTGGCTCTGTGTGCACACACTTCTGAGCTTTCTTCGTTCTCCTCATTGCTCCTCTCATCGTGCCTTGCCACTCTTCTCACACCTCGTTGCTTTCTTCCCTTCGTGTCCTCTCCACTCCATTCGAACCATGCTCTTTACTCCAACTCATTTGTTGGTATTACTGTATGCTGCTTCTTATGTGCTTGTTCCTTGGCTTTGCTGCATCTCGTTTTTTCTGCTCTGATGTGCTGTTCGTCATTTGCTGGTATTACTGTATGCTGTCGTGGGTGTTGCTCTTTGCACGAGCTGCTCTGTGTGTGTGCTGCTATTTGTATGTGCTGCTATTGTCACAATCTAAGAATTGACTAGAATAACAAAGTTACAAGCAATATGTATGAAACCCTAATCTAGAAGTAGGGCAAAACAGTAACACCTAGACTAAACCAAATACAACATATAAAATATATGTTGACACACCCCCATAGTCTAGGTGACGGTACCGTAGTCCTGTGGAAAGAAACACAAATCTGAGCGTGGGTCTCAAGGACACACACATTCTGAGAGCAAACAAGGGTCACATGACCAGTCAGCAAGAACAAGCAAGGGTTACAAGACCAGACCACAAGAACAAGACAAATCTCAGGGTGGAGCTCAAAGTCACCACACTCTCCGAGAGCAAGCAAGGGGCCACAAGGCCAGTCCACATGCAGGTATATAGCAAATATAAAGAGATGCAAGAGTACAAGACATGCAGGACAAAGCATCTCTACGTAAGCAAGTGAGGACGGGCAGGCACAAGGCCAAGTTGGGTGCAGAAACGCTGGTGGTCACAAGGCGGCAACGCCTTGGTGAAGATATCTGCCGTGTTGGCCTCGGAGACCACACGCCTTACGAGTGCCTGACCACGCTGCTGCAACTCACGCAGAAGGAAGTAACGAAGCTGGATGTGCTTCGCCTTCCCAACCAGTCGGGGCTCCTCACACAACAGGACAGCAGACCTGTTGTCGGCGAACAAGACTGGGGGAGAGCGAGGCTGCTCACCAAGGTCGGTGAGAAGGAAGGACAGCCAGCGGAGCTCCTGAGCGGCCATGGCCGCAGCGTACACCTCTGCCTCACAGCTGGAACCGGCGACGGTTGACGCCCGATTCGACCGCCACGAAACAACGCCTGCCCCGAAGCTAAAGGAGTACCCCTGTATAGACCGACGCGTCTCCGCGTCGTCGGCCCACGATGAGTCCGAGTAACCTGTGAGTGTAACTGGCTGCTTCCCTCCAAGGACAAGTCCCATGCCTGATGTACTCGCCACATACTTCGCCACCCTCTTAGCAGCGTACCAGTGGGACGGTCGGTGTCTCCCAGGCGCAACAAAGCGCGCAAGGATGCTAAGAGGGGCGAGTACAGGTCATCAGGTACATGAGACAACCCACCAGCTCAGGATATGGACCACTGGACTCAAATGACTCGTCCGAAAGTGGAGCCGTGAGCCCATGATCCACACCAAGAGGGGTGAGCTGTACCTTGGAGAACAGGAAGCGAAACCGCGTGAGGATCTGCTCGACCATATGCGACTGAGTCAGCGTAATGGTGCGAGCTCCCCTGTCCCTGGTGATCTGCAGGCCAAGGTAGTGCTGCAGCTCACCAAGGTCAGTGCAAGTGTGTCTCCTATGCAGTTCCTCCTTCACGGAGGCCAGCGCGCGTCGGTCGGGAGTGGCGAACACCAGGTCGTCGACGTAGACCAAGACAAAGAACGGGGTCGAGCCACGGCGAACGAACAGTGACGGGTCAGCAGACGACGGAAAAGAGTCAAGCGCTGCAAGGGTCGAGCGAAGTGTGTCGTGCCACTCACGTGGTGTTAGAAGAGAGAGAATTGATACATTGAATAATGAGCCAAGAGGCTCTTTAGTACAAATAATGAGCAAGAGAGAGATGAGAGGAAAGCTTACCCTATTGGCCAATAAGTTGGCCAATGGGTGACCTTGCTTGTGACCCAAGCAACCACAAATGTGTGTTGGTTGGGATTGGTTGAGCTAAGGACCAATCCCAACCAACCACAAAATGTGGTTGGAGGGTACACTAAGCAACCCCCCAATTTATAAATGTGCTACACTTCTAGCCTATGTATGTTGTATGAAATATGAAATTACAACACGTGGAGCCTGACGCAGGCCGTAGACTGGTCGACGCAGCTGCCACTGGGTCCCAGGTGGGAAAGAGCCAGTGAAGCCAGGCGGGCGACGCAGCCAGATCTGCTCGTGCAGGCTCCCCTGAAGGAACGCGGTGGAGAAGTCCAAGGAGTGCAACTCGTAGTCGCGCTGGGCTGCAATATGCAGCAACACCCGAAGAGTACTCATCTTCGGGGTGGGAGCGAAGGTCTGGAAGAAGTCCACCCTCTCTCGCTGACTGAAGCCTCTCGCCACATAGCGCGCCTTGAACACAGGTGGTGATCCAGGCGGCCGCTTCACCTTGTAGAGCCATCGGCCACTGACGACGTTCGTCCCAGGTGGTGGGACTGCGTCGACGTAAGTGCCTGTGGACCTATAAGATGCCATCTCTGCCTCCTCAGCTGCTATCCAGTACGAAGCCCAGGGTCCCGAGACCGCCTCGGCGTGAGTGCGAGGGATCGGGGTGTCAAGGGCGTCTGGATCCCCCTCAGGGGCAAGCAACATGGCGCAGAGATGAGGAACAGCGGCCGCAAGAAAACCAAGCTCGAACTGTCTGTCCTCGAGGACCTCTAGGGGAAAAACAGGAGCACCCCCAGAGAACGGAGAACGAGCAGGGCCACTCACCAAGTGAGCGGCGTAGTCAAGGCGGTGGGAAGAGGCAAAGCCAGCGACAGTGGTAATAAGTGCCGAAACAGACGACAGAGGAGCAGTCGGGTGAGTGACCAACGCGGACAAAACACGGGAGACGACAGGACGGGAGGCACGGAGGTAGTCGGACAACGGGTCGTGAAGCACAGTGAGGAACGACCCAGGGGGCTGTGGAAGGACAGGAGGAGGTGGAACACGAGAGCGAAGAACAAGGTGGAACGGACCGTCTGCACGGTAACGGGACCGACGACGCTCTGGGGACACAGCACGACTGAGGGGAGAACGACGAGTCCACTGGGACGAGGAAAGAGACTCAACAGGGGGAACAGGAGAGGACGGTAGGGGACCACGAACAAAGCGTGCAGGTGCTGGGTCGGGCAGGTCGTGTAGTCGCAGTCGCTGCTGCTTCGGCTCCTTTGGCGTCTGCTGCGACGGCACCGGCCCCTGCTGCTGCTCCTGCGGCTCCGCCTCTGCCCTCTCCTGCTGCGACTGCTACTGCACCCGCTGCTGCGAGCGGGACTCCTGCGCTACCCTCTCCTGCTGCGGTCGTGACTCCTCCTGTACTCTCTCCTGCTGGGTCTGTAACTGCACCCGCTGCTGCGGGCGGGACTCCTGCTCTACCCTCTCCTGGTGCGGCCGTGACTCCTCCTGTACTCTCTCCTGCTGGGGCCTAAGTTGGAATATACGCTTAACACCTTAAGCGTACAGCGTATGTACGCTAGCGTACATACGCTATCCGCTATACGCTAGCAAATACGCTATACGCTCTTAGATTTTTTTTAGGGCTGCCCGAAAAAAGAATCGCAAAAAAGATGCGGATTTCCTAGGTGAGCATTTCGCCGTAGTCGAAATTCAAGTCCGCAATCTAGGCAAACGGGGATCTGACTTCGAAGTCGTCAGGCAAATGTTGGATTTCAGATCCCATCTAGGCATTGAAATCCATCCCTTCTACCGCATTGAACCCCACTCTATCTACAAACTCCAACCTGTCAAAATTTCCCAAACAACAAATCTCACGGTACTTACCAGCCAGCCCTGTTGGCTAACCCTAACTCGTCATTTCGTTCCCGCTTTCACCAGAGTTCACGCTTCTTCGCTTTCTTGCTATTATGGTTACTCCACCTCCAATTGCACTCGTCATTCGGATTCAGGATTATGCAAGGGCAAGCCTTAGTGAGAATAGGGAGTACTTTTATTTCACCCTGCCCGGAACGTTTTTTCTCTGCCCGAAAAAGCGTTTCTCCAAACCGAACCCCTAAGCGGATAGCGTGTATACGCTAGCGTATATACGATACGCGAATATACGCTGTACGCGTATATTCCAACTTAGGCTGGGGCTGCAGCTGCACCCGCTGCTGAGACCGGGACTCCTGCTCTACCCTCTCGTGCTGGTGCTGTGACTCCTCCTCTACTCTCTCCTGCTGCTGTAGCTGCTGCTGCTGCTCCTGCTGCCGCTGCTGGTGCTGCTGCTGCTGCTGCTGCTCTTGCTGCTGCTGCTGCTGCTGCTGCTGTGCCCTCTCAAACCGCTCACGCTCCTCCCTCTCCAACTGGAGGAGACGCTGCTCACGGGTCAGGAAACGTACAGTGCGAGTTGTAGGCGCCACAGTGCCAGTGCCTCCAGCTCCAGCACTCCCAGAACCATCACCTCCACTAGTGACACCCCCGGGGCCTCCAGTACCTCCCGTAGGAGCACCCCCAAGCTCCGCAGCAACCGGCCGCAGAGGAGAACGAGGAGGGAACTGCGGGACGACCGGGAAGCCGGGGGGTGAGGCGGGGCGAGGCCGCCGACTCGAGGCTGCCGTGTCCTCCACAGGAGTGACCTCCACGCCCACACCCACTGCACCCCTTGAACCGACACCACGAGCTCCTGCAGCCCCAGCACCCTCACCCTCCGCAACTGTACCTCCCGCACCCCCAGATACGACAGGGACTGGACGCTGCGGGGGGAACGACTGCGGAGTGACGTGCGACACACCTGACGGGGCAGGACGCGAAGCGGGGGGGGGCTACCGGGGCGACTGGGGGGGGCTCAAGGGTGAGGAACAGCGGGGGGGAAAAGACTTCAGTACCTCGGTGGGGGCGACTCCTGTAGTAACAGATAGGGTTGAGCAAAAAAACGAACACCTGTTCGGTTCGCCTCGAACGTGTTCGAGGCGAACCGAACAGGTATTTTTTTTTGGCTTAAAATGTTCGCCGAACAGTGTTCGATGTTCGCCCGAACACGTTCGTGTTCGGGCCGCTGCTGCAATTTGCCCGCGACGAACACGAACAGTGTTCGAGGTTCGCCCGAACACGCCTTCACAGGCGAACGGCGAACACCATTTTTTGCTCAAAGTGTTCGCCGAACCGAACAGTGTTCGGTTCGGCAAACGAAGGTGTTCGTGTAGGGGCGAACACGAACACGTTCGTGTTCGCCACTTGCTCATCCCTAGTAACAGACAGACTCGTCGAACGCGACGTCCTGAGAAGCGAAGAACCCGCAGGTGACCAGGTCGTAGAATACCCAGCCGGAGGCGTCCAACGGGAAGCCAATAAAGACGCAGGCACGAGTGCGCGGAGACAACTTGTTCGCGCCAGGGGCGTGAACGTGAGCCAGACAACCCCAGACGCGGAAGTCAGCTGCTACGCCCTGTAAACCTGACCAGAGAGAGACCGGCGTCACCCGTGGCCGTGCGTCACTGGGCCACAGGTTCAGCTGGTGCGCGGCGTAGCGGACCGCCTGAGGCCACAAGAACTGAGGGGCACCGGCATGGCACATGGAGGTCCGGGCAACCTCCATGACCAGGCCGATGCGACGCTCGGCTACCCCGTTCTGCTGCGGCGAGGATGGTAGCGTGTACGACTGAATGACTCCCCGACCCTGATAGAACGTCTCCAAACGAGTGGAAGAAAACTCACCACCACGGTCCGAGTGTAGGCGAAGCCCACACAGGCCCTGGGCACCACCCCACGCTAGTAGCCACGGCTCTAGGACAGTAGGCAAGTCGGCCTTCCGTCGCAAGGGGAAAACCGTGGTGTAGCGGGAGTAGTCGTCCACCACAATCCCCCAGGACAACGAGCTTGTAACCCTTCCTTAGGATCGATGGGGAATCACCAGTGGACCTCTGACACCCCCCTGCACTGGGATGCCCGAAGTGCACACACTGGGATTCGAACCCGAGACCTTCGCTCTGATACCATGTCACAATCTAAGAATTGACTAGAATAACAAAGTTACAAGCAATATGTATGAAACCCTAATCTAGAAGTAGGGCAAAACACTAACACCTAGACTAAACCAAATACAACATATAAAATATATGTTGACAGCTATTTGTGTGTGCTGCTATTTGTATGTGCCTATTCGTGCGTGCTGCTATGCGTCTGTGCTGCTACTCGTGTGTGCTGCTATTCGTGTGTGCTTCTTGTTGTGTGTGCTTCTTGTTGTGTGTGCTTCTTGTTGTGTGTGCTTCTTGTTGTGTGTGCTTCTTGTTGTTGTGTGTGCTTCTTGTTGTTTGTGCTTCTTGTTGTGTGTTCTTCTTGTTGTTTGTGCTTCTTGTTGTTGTGCTTCTTGTTGTTGTGCTTCTTGTTGTGTGTTCTTCTTGTTGTTTGTGCTGGTTCTCATGTGTGCTGGTTCGCCTCCACAGGCGAACAGCGAACACCTGTTTTTTCCTAAACTGTTCGCCGAACCGAACAGTGTTCGGTTCGGCAAAAGAGGGTGTTCGACAAGGGGCGAAGACGAACATGTTCGTGTTCGCCCTTTGCTCATCCCTAGTTGTGTGTGCTTCTTGTTGTGTGTGCTTCTTGTTGTGTGTGCTTCTTGTTGTTGTGTGTGCTTCTTGTGGTTTGTGCTTCTTGTTGTGTGTGCTTCTTGTTGTTGTGTGTGCTTCTTGTTGTTTGTGCTTCTTGTTGTGTGTTCTTCTTGTTGTTTGTGCTTCTTGTTGTTGTGCTTCTTGTTGTTGTGCTTCTTGTTGTGTGTTCTTCTTGTTGTTTGTGCTGGTTCTCATGTGTGCTGCTCTTTCTGTCCACAAGCCCGGTCCCACCCATCCTTTGCAGAGAGATTGGCAACAACAATTTCTCTGGGCCCTTTCCTGAACCTCTTCTAGCGCATAAGGGACTTCAATCCTTGTAAGCCCAATTATGATAAAGTACTGTAAGTCATTATCCTACGCCCGCACAAGGAATGGAACCACTGTTACATTCTCTTCCTACGCCAAAAGTGCATGCTCGGGCTCGCTTCTCTTACGGACTTATCCCGTTGTTTTTGGCATGGCAATGGCAGTAACTTGGTGAACAACAGTTTCTCGGGAACCATCCCGCAGCAACTGACAGCACTTGTTGATCTTAAAGACATGTGAGTGATGACACACATGGCACATGTGGGTGATGGCACACTTGGCACATGTGGGTGATGGCACACATGGCACATGTGGGTGATGGCACACATGGCACATGTGGGTGATGGCACACATGGCACATGTGGGTGATGGCACACTTGGCACATGTGAGTGATGGCACACATGGCACATGTGGGTGATGGCACACATGGTACATGTGGGTGATGGCACACATGGCACATGTGGGTGATGGCGCAAGTCAATTTTGCAGTTAGGCTGGTTGCTCGAAAAAGATAACATGTCAGTTGAATCTCAACCCCCACACAACATTAATCCACGGGACATGTGTCCCTCCACCAGTTACATCGCATCGCAGTTGCCCACTCACGCCAAATACAAATTTCCTATCACTTCCATGAGGGCATGACATTTCACAAATTAAAATCATCAATGCTTCAGAGACTTTTAGGCTGACTGATCTTACCAGTTTCCACAGGCGCCTAATGAGTTCCATCCCTGCTTGCTTGTTGATGGCCAGAGCTGATCAGGGCGCGCTGAGAATATTTTGGCACGCAATGGACTGGGTGGTGGATCTCCACTCGTTTTTTTTGTTTTTGTTTTTACCTTTCTTAGTCCTCCTATTCTTTCAGTTGCACATTAATATGTCTTCTGTCCCAGACGCTAGGAGCGGAATAACTAACTGTGACTTTCGAGGATTGCAAACCCCAATTCTGAGAGCATAATGACGCCCGTAAGCAGGCATGAGCTAAGTGCCTGGCCAGGCCGGGTCGATCCAACTGGACCCAAAGTTTTGCCCGGGTTGGGCCAACCTTTCCCAAACGCCGACCCGGCCCGGCCGTGTCGGGCCGGGTATACCCGGCCAGGTCGTGTCGACCCGTGACCTGATTTGATAACCTTTGCCTGGGTCAGGTCAACCCGGCTACCCATGTCGACCCGATCCAAAACCAGATTGGATCGGATTGGATCCGATCTGAGGTGGGTTAAAATACCAGAAACACAGGAAACTCACCCGTCAAATACGAACCCTAGCCACTTACAGGCCGTAAGCCATCTGGCTCGTGATGAGCCGACCCGACTCCCCCACAACCCCTAAGGTCAAGCGTGATAAGGCTTAAAATCCGCTCATCACACCGCTTTTTCCAGAATGGTGAAGTCACCCCCTTCGTCCCCATCATGTGCACTGGCCCTGGTACGGCCTGGCCAGGCTTGCAATCAGCTCGTGACAGTCTGTTCGCTAAACTCAAACGCCCTCCCTCCGCCCCGTTGTGAACTGAGCTTTGCCCGGCCCTGCCTGCTGCAGGCTCAGCCTGCTGCGTCAGTGTGCAACATTCAGCACAATCATTCGCCGCCTGTGTCACACGTTGTCCCCCATTCCTCCTCCCATCGTTTCCCCTCCCCATCTCCTTTCCAGCGCTTTGTCGAACAATCATTTCCATGGATCAATTTCACCTGAGCTGTTTCAACTGCCTCAGTTGTACTCGCTGTGAGTTTCCGCCTGGTAGCCACGCACTTCTCTTAGCCTTCTTCCTTTTCCCCTCATTCCCTCTAATATTTTTTATTATTCAGTTTGGGTGTCAGAATTTTGGCGGAGCGAGAGAGTGAGAGAGAGGGAATGTCAGCCCGTATGTCTACTCTCTGGTTGAAAATCTAAAGGCGGATGTCACCATCCGTCATCCCCTGACTGGAGAAGTGTGGATGTGCGACGTGACCGTGACGGAACCGGTGTCTTACCAGGACGAGAACTGCAACTGAGCTCCTGGATGGGCGGCTAGGGCGGCAGCAGCTAGGAAGGAGGAGAAGTACGCACGCAGGAACGCGTGGGTGGGGTTCCACGCGCTTGCAGTGGAGACTTACGGCTACCCCTCGCCAGGGGTGATGGCCTACCTGCGGCAATGCGCGGAGCTGGCGGCAAAGCTGCGTTTCAACGCAGCACCAACCTCTTACGAAGCAGCTAAGCTGCTGACAGAGTACCGCCAGCGCTGGAGCGTGTGCCTCCAGCGGGCGCAGGCCAATGCCCTCCGCACCAAGACCAACGAGGCCTTGGCGGCGGATGAACCCGGCTTTCGGGGCCCCATCATCCCTCTTAGTGAGGGACAGCTGCACCAGCTGATTGAATCCCCGTTCGACCAGTAGGGCCGGACAGAGGGGGGGAAGCGGGAGTAGGTAGGGGACGTGGGGTAGATAGGATACCGGTTTACGTGTTTGTTTAGCTTGTGGGTTTGCATCTTCCACTGTACCACCGCATAAGTAATGCAAGGGCCATTCGGGAATGTTAGCCTAGCCCCTTTTCCCTCTCAGCCCTGTCCCTCCCAGCCCTGTCCTAAGGGTATATAAGGGTAGTTCCTTCTCCTATACCCATACCGATACCTTCCCCCCCTCCCCTCCCCCCACTTTCCTTCCCCTCCCCTCTCCCATGCCGCCCTGCTGTAGGGAACTGGGAAACAACTTCTTCTCAGGTGGTCTTCCAGTGCCACTCAACGCGTCACCCACTCTTTTAATTCTGTGAGAACTGTGACATGCTTTCAGCGCTTTCACGAACGTGGGGTGCACATATCTAAGCCAAGTGCCAATCCATCCTGCGCTTGTTCCCCCCTCCATCAAGGAAGGTTAGGAGCCTTGCCAGGTTCTGTGCCTCTGCACTGCACTCATCCCATCACCTGCGCTTCCTGTAGCGTCGCGTGCTCACCCCCTTTCAGTGGTATGCCCCTTCCAAGCTCTACCCTTGTTGTGCTCTCCCACTGTTTTCTCTGCTTCCACTACCCTGTAGTATTCTGGAGGGAAACGGCCTTACAGGCGCCTTACCGGACTTTGCTCGCTGGAATGTCAGCCTCAACATCCTGTACGCCACCCTCTTTTCTCTCTCTTTCTCAAATTGCCCATTAGTTCGTCAATGGCAAGAAGTGCAGCCTTAGATATATAGCAGGCATCAGCAACACTTCCCAGCCACGTGTAGAACGTGCTTTTTTGAGACATCTCATAAGTTCACTTTCTACACGTGGCAAGAAGTGCAGCCTTAGATATATACGAGGCAAGAATGTCAGCCAACCGCTTTGAAACTCTGGTCATCAGCTTAGCTCGTGTACCAAGCCACCGATCTCGTTATGCTGGCTCCCTAGCCTCCAGATCAGCTCGTTCGCCGGCTGGCTCGTCATAGCTCAGACCCAGTCTGCTTGAACCCTCAATCATGCCTATCAGATGCCAGTGACCTCTCTCAGAGGCTAGAGTGGGGCTCTGCGAGGTGAATCAGGTAACCCTCTCGCAGTAGCTCTGCCAGGTTGGTGGCTAAGGCTGAGTGTATCTTGCAGTGCATGGCATTGGCATGAGCCCTTTGGGAGGTAATGGTCAAGTCCTGACAGAACTTGTAAAATAATTTTGCTGGTTGGGAGGCGTTTTAAAGCAGCAGATTGGGCACATGTTCGTAGGCAATGAGCTGCAGCCGCAGTGAAAGAAACTGAAGCCGCGATTGCAATCAGTAAGAAAGAGTTCGGAGAGGGTGAGTGTGTCTTTTTTGGGGAGTGGGGTAGAGGTTTGTAAGGAGAGTGGCATGAAGAAAGAGCATAGCTCCATAGAGATTAAGGGGTGGAGGCATGAGTGGATGGATGACGAGCATGACATGGTGAATGCGCATGCATTTCAGCAACGACATTCAGCAATGAGGAGTAGGAAAAGTTGTAGGTTTGCTGAGCGCCAAGTTTCTCGTAGTAGTAGGCAAAGGCATAGTTGATTCTGGAATTTAATCGTAATAGGAGGCAAGGGCATGGTTGAGGAATTGACCATAGCCATTCATATGGAGCCGGCAAATAGGATGGCACACGGGAACGCGTGCCTGCTCAGGCTAGGTGATGGGCAGCGACTGTGGTCGTCCAGGAGGACAAGCACAAAGCGATGGCTCAATGGTCCATGTGGACATGTCAAGAAGGCCATTTTGAAAATGAGGTTTGGAATGGGGGGGACGCGTGTACATAGTGAGGAACGGCTTTATACGGATGGGAAAATGTGCCTTCTCCTCCATGCCCTCATCATCACACAACACAACCCTCGCATTGCATGCGTTTTTTTCAGGGCTCTCAACAACAACTTCACGGGATCTATTCCCGATTCCATTTCCTCGCTGACTGCTCTTGAGAGAATGTAATCTCTTGCACTCATGTTGCAATCATTAGTGCAGCATGATCCTCGCATAGTGTGTGAGTTTACCAAATATGGGTTTGTGTGCAAATATGCCATGCAACAGGAGTTTCTAGCAGCATGTGTGCGCGTTGCACTCTAAGTCTCTATGGTTGGTCCCCGTTTCAGGTTCACACCTCGTTCCTTGCTTGCCCGCACAGCATCCTGAACAACAACCAGCTCTCGGGCTCCATACCAGCTTCCATCTTCAACATGACCAGCCTCAAGATCCTGTCAGCCTCCGCTCCCTGTCACCATCAACTAACAGTCACTGCCTTGGGCTGTTGCTCATTATACACCGCACACTTGCACCCTCCTATTATCTCTCTAACACCAATGCAAACTGCCTGCTTCTATATCTGGCTGCATTCTTCTCTTCTGCAACCGCTACCTTCCCCCATAATCCCTCGCCATCCTCTCTCACACCACGCCTCCCTTGCACCATGGCTCTCTCATTTACTAGTTTCTGTTGCGGCCCTCCCATGCATGCAGCTACCTGGCCAACAACCATCTGAGCGGCAGCCTGCCCGCTGACATCAGCCGACTTGAATAATTTGCAGCAGCTGTGAGGCCCCTCTCTTCCTCTGCTGATCCCTCAATCCGTCCACCAGCCTGCGCGCCCCTCTGTGCGCCCCTCGGTCCGTCAATCTATCCATGCCTTTTTTGTAGGCGACCAGAACCTGTCTTGCCTCTCTTCCCTAACTCCCTACCCCTCCCAGGTGGCTGGACAACAACAGCATCGAGGGTCCGCTGCCATCTGCCATCTGCTCGATTCCCAGGCATGTGAGTGGCTGTGGCGCATGTGAGTGGCTGTGGCGCATGTGAGTGGCTGTGGCGCATGTGAGTGGCTGTGGCGCATGTGAGTGGCTGTGGCGCATGTGAGTGGCTGTGGCGCATGTGAGTGGCTGTGGCGCATGTGAGTGGCTGTGGCGCATGTGAGTGGCTGTGGCGCATGTGAGTGGCTGTGGCGCATGTGAGTGGCTGTGGCGCATATGAGTGGCTGTGGCGCATGTGAGTGGCTGTGGCGCATGTGAGTGGTTGTGGCGCATGTGAGTGGCTGTGGCGCATGTGAGTGGCTGTGGCGCATGTGAGTGGCTGTGGCGCATGTGAGTGGCTGTGGCGCATGTGACCTCCTCAACAGACCCCGACCCAACACCCTCTCCTCTTCCCAGACCCCTCTGTCGAATCCCATTCGCATCATACCTTTTGCATTCCCCATAGACATCATTTCCCCTCGATACGTACCATGTATCTTCTAGCTAGAGTGCATGTGATCTTTGGTGTGTGTGTGTGTGATGTTGTGGCAGCATTGCGAGCAACAACCGCCATAATGGGCTCCTTCCAGACTGCCTTTTCAACAAATGTGTCAACCAGATGTAAGTCGCAACATAATTAAGTGGATTGATGCGAAAGGGATACATGCAGTGCAATGTATAGGCATGCTGGAAGCAAGAACAAAATTCAACAGAGGTCACATCAGCATCACTAGCTCCAGCACTCAATAACTTCACAACAGCCAATAATGTTACACGCGTCAATCCACAGCCAATAAGGTGAGAACAGCCGATAATGTCACTAACTTCAGCTCAGCCGCATCACGCCCTGCCGCTCCAATTTCTAAAGGACTGAATTCGAGTCCGCTCTTGCTGCCCATGCAGTCAGATTGACCATCAATTGCACTTTTTGCTCTTGCATGTATCAGCTTCGGTATTACTTCAATAATGTGCAGAACGCTCACTGTACGGACAGCATTATGCAGCTCTGGGTGACTGCATGTTGATACCCAACCAAGTTCGTGTGCTGCTGTGCTCTGTCGCTGCTTCCTCACGCATGCACCTATTCGTGGCCTCATGCATCCAATTAGTATCTCAAACTCACAAAGCAGCTGCTGTCCCACAATATGTACTGCACCTGTCACCTCCCATACCCACTCTCAACTCTTTCAAATGGCAGTGATGTGAGTGGTAACAGCCTGTACGGGCGCATCAACCGCAACTTCAGGAACATGGTGGCGGATGGCGATGCCCTCATCAACTTGGTCCACAACTTCTTCTTCGGCGATGCCGTGCTCTTTGCTGCCGGCTGCCAGATCTGCCCCGTTGAGATCAGCGAGCCCAACCACCTGGTGGTGGCGGAAGCCAATTCCGGCAAAGGGGCTGGGAAGTGCATTGGTGGCATAAGTCCCATGAAAGATTACTCAGTTGGCGGGGCAGGCAAGGGCGCGAGGGTGAGTATGTCAGGCAACTGCCTGACTCTCAGCCCGGACGCGGATTGCCCCTCCAACGCCACCCAGCGCAGCACAGCAGCCTGCCAGGCGTTCTGCAGCATCACTGACAACGGCCCGTGTGACGGCCATGGGGAGTGTGTGCCACCAGCACCCGCCTCCCCCTCCAACTTCACGTGCCTCTGCCATGCCGGCTACTCTGCTCTTGACTTGGGCAATGGCTCCACCTGTGCTGTTGTCAACTCCACCACCACCACTGGTGAGCCATAACCCCACTGGTGAGCCATAACCCCACTGGTGAGCCATAACCCCACTGGTGAGCCATAACTTCACCACTATAGCTCACTTGCGCTGTCACACTGTCACACGCCCCACACTGCCTCACTGCCCCACACTGCCTCACTGCATCGCACTGCCTGGAATGGAATGCGCTGCGGCGGCTACACCAACGTAGCCGGCTCACACTGTCCCACCCGTAGCCTCTCTCCACTGCTTCCACCCCACCACAACATTCCTTAACAGTTCTTTCATGCTCACACTGATTTTTTCTACTGCATTTTTTCCTAGATTCTAGAATCTCTCCACAAGCAGCCCTTTCACGTCCCTGGTGCTCTCTCCACTCCCCTCCTACCTCACTCCCGCTCCCTCCCCCGTTTCTCCCTCACCCCCCCTGCCCTGTCTCAACCGTGTCCTCTCTCTCCACGGCACCATAGCGGGCATTGCTGTGGGGTGCTTTGTACACTCTGCGCTGATGAGCTGACTCTACATTTGCTTCTGTGCCCACCCTTCCCCTTCCACCCCTAACAGTCTCCTCGATCTCCACGGGTGCCATAGTGGGCATTGCTGTGGGGTGCTTTGCTGGCCTCACTCTCCTGGCTGCCATACTCGCATGGCTGCTGTGGCCCCGCAAACAGAGTGAGACCTCCAACCCTGCTGCCCCCTCTCCTGAAGCTATCTCCCCCCCATTCCTCTTGCATACCATTCTGCATCCTCCATCGCTCTTCTTCCTCTCAGAGTCCACCCAACGCTGTAGGATCCTTTCAACCGTAGTCATCCCCCTGCTATTTTTAAAATGCTCTGCATGGATGTCTCGTGTGCGTGCAGGGAAGTGGGGGGGGCTGGACGTGTGTGAGCAGTACACGCTGCAGCAGATATTGACGGCGACAGACAACTGGGCAAAAGAGAATGAGCTGGGCAAGGGAGGCTTTGGCATTGTGTACAAGGGCTGCTCGTCACAGGGGCAGCAGTGGGCTATCAAGCGCTCTACCGTCATGACAAATGAGTTTGAAACAGAGGTGAGTGCCATTCTGCCTTTAGAATGTGTTTCCACGTGTTTTGCAATCTGGGTCTCACTCGTCTAGAAACGAATAACAGGATATTCACAAGAAAACCATTTCTTCTTTCTTTCTTTCTTTCTTTCTTTTCTTTTCTTTTTGTCACATGGTCTTCTTTCTTCATATTTTTGTTCTTTCACAGGTGCGAGCCATGGCATCCCTCCACCACACGAATCTGGTGCGACTGCTGGGCTTCTGTTTGGATCAGGATGTGGAGACGGGCAAGCAGGAGCAGATCCTGGTGTACGAGTATGTGGGCAACAGGGACCTCGAGTACCACATCCACAAGTCCAAGCGTGAGTCCCAGAATGCTGTGTGAATCTTGGTGAATCCTTGCTGCCCCGTTTGGCGAATGAAATTACTCTTACCCAACCCCCCTGCTGCTTGATTCTCCAACTCATCGGCTCTGCTCCACTCTCTATTCCCTCTAGCAATTTTAATATTACACAAGGTAAAACCACCGCGCATGTCCCCTCACTCTGCACCAGGCCCGCTCTCCATGAGGCAGCGACTGCGGCTGGCACAGGGAGCAGCAGAGGGTCTGGCGTACCTGCATGGGTTTGACACGCACATCATCCATCGCGACATCAAGCCCGCCAACATCCTTGTGACGGCCGACATGCAAGCCAAGGTGGCCGACTTTGGGCTGCTCAAGCTGCTCACTCACGGCGGCTCCGATGCCACACGAGTGGCAGGCACTCCGGGCTATGTGGACCCCGACTACAACCGCACCAGCTTTATCACTGCTAAGAGTGACGTCTTCAGGTCTGCATACGTTGCTCTGTTTGACCGTAGAATGAGCTTACCATATTCTCTTGTAGTCCCATTTGTAACCTGCATAGGCTACACCATGCTTCTTGTTTTTGTGCTGGTTAGAAGCTGGTTCTGTGCTGCAGCTACAGCTCATTCCTGAGTTATAACTCTCAGTGGCTGATGCATGTCTCTGTCCAAGCTGGTTCTGTACTCCCTCCCTGCCCACTGCCATGAGCGCTTTCAGCTTTGGAATAGTTCTTCTCGAGTTGTTGACAGGAAAGGCACCTCGAGATCTCCTTGGTCTTCCTATCAAAGACTGGGTAATTGACCTTGTCCCTCGTCAAACCCACCCTGGCCTCCTGTCATCATGAATAAACTTATTATCTCATTCATCTGTGCTGCATTATCTTGCATAGCCTCTACTTTTGAGTCGCATATCCTCTGTATCGTGCTGCCTTGTGCTTCCTTTCCTCTAATCTTGCTGCTGTTCACTGTGTCTCCACTTGAGCATGCTGCCTTTAGTTTCATTCCTTCTTCTGTATGAATCCGTCGCCATGGCCCTTCCTGTTTCTCCACCTTCATCTGCCGTTCCTCTCAATCTTGCTCCCCTGTATCACACCTTCCCTCTATCACACTTGGTCGCGCGGGCTCACTGCAGGTGATGAAGAAGGTGGAGGCGCACGAGTTATGCCAAGTTAATGCACGAAATGACTTGTTCCTCTACTCTTGCTGTCTTGCACAATGAGTTGTTTCCTCTCTAACTTGTTTCTTTTCAGGCGCTGAAGGAGATGGAGGCATATCACTTGGACGAACTCAAAGACAGCAAGCTAGAAGCAAGTGAGGGGGCTATAGTGGACTTTGCTGACCTGGCTCTGGACTGCGTCAAGTCACCGGGCACACGACGGCCTGACATGGGGGATGTTGCATACCGTCTCAAAGTGCTCATTCAGAAGCATTGCCCAGAATCGGAGGCCAATTGGGAGAGCACGGAGCAGGCAGATAACACAAGTACTGGTGATTCGTTCCCACGGTCGGAAGGTGGTTCTGCGTGCAATATTGGTGGACGAGAGTCACACATGGGGTCTCAAGTGTCTCAAGGCTCGCTTGGACTGAGCGGGTCCTCCTCGAGCAGCTTCGGCTTGGGGGTTACTGGCATCAAGAGCTGGCTGCACACCCGGTTTCAGGGCCTCAGATATTAGAAGAATATAAAACAATAGCAATCTAGAAGAATGCCAGTAGCGCATCAGCCTCGTATAGACTTCCTCACTATTGCGATTCATGTGAAACGATTCTGTCAATGTTAGTTCTTATAGGCTAGAAAGGGTTAGGCTTTAGTGAGTATAACTCTTGCACCTCTGTTCCCTGTACCCCACTCTCTAGTGCAATTTTCTCTCTTGACAAGGTATCGATCTATGTTAGGCTAGGTTTCTAATTAGCCAATTATCCTGCCTAGTCTAGCGCTGCCCTTAGCCAGCTCGAACCTCTTGGTATCACAAACGCCTTAGTCGGCAAAAGATACTTGCTAATGCCGATCTCGTTCTCCACAATCATACGATTTCACCAATACGCGCAGCTCTAAAAAAGGCCCTACGCCGGCCCACTCACCACAATAACCCTCCTCTGTGCCTCCACCTGCGCGGCCCACTTGGGGTGGGGTTGGAAGTCAGTTTCCTGGATGCAGCTCTCGTCCAGCGACGGGCAGTTGGTGGGGTAACGCGTGGGCGAACGGCTGCTGTCCGCGAGGGGCGCCTCTGAGCATGACCCCACGCCGAGCAACCGCTCGTACGCAAACTCATAGTCGGGGCACGAGGGGCCGCGCGAGGCGCGTGGCGGGGGTGCGCTATTGGGTTTGGGCTTGGCCTCGTCGGTGAAGCGAGTGGCGTCGAGGTGCACGCGCTTGAGAAGTGTGCAGGAGATGTCCACCGTCAGGTTCGAGCACCTCCAAGGGGAACTGCCCATCAATGGGCTTCCAGTGCGTGTGTGGCGCACTCAGAAACGCGCTCTCCCCTGCTGCCCCTCCCCCCGCTGCTCTCCCGGCCCCTCCACCTCCCCCAACTGCTGCTGCTGTTGCTGCGCCCGAGGTGGCACCCTCCGCGCCCCACTGCTGCTGGGGGAACGCCTGGGCTGCCATGCCGCTGCTCCACCCGTTGCTCTCCCCGCCCCCTGCGCCGGCCCACTGTGCGCCCTATCCGCCTTGCCCGCAGTGCTGCATGGGCAGTGCCCCCTGTAGCATTGTCTGTTAGGGCTTGCGGAGATAACTTAATGAACGGGAGTTAGACTACGGGCTAGGCACGGGGCTAGAGTGTGATATCTGCATTCGTTCACTTAGTCGTGTCCTTGTGCACACACTACTTGCTAGTTCAGGGGGAAACTCGGCAAGAGTTTCACTAGGAAAAACATCATAATAATGATTTAGAATTATAGAAAACAAAATTGGCACGACTGACTACATCAGAGATAGCATGCAAGTAGGACGACTGCCGGCGCAGCACGGTCGACCGCGTTCTAGCACGACTTGCTCGATCGTGCTCCAGCAGTGCAAGGTTGCAGCCCGCCAACATTGCAAGTCGACGACGTGCCAACACTGCAGCAAGTCGGCTGCACAACGTTGCACCTGCACGACAGTATCGCACCCGCGTCGCAAGTGCTCGCAGATGATTGGCGGGATGCGTCCTGTCACCTGCACAGCGCACACACTGGATCGTCCTCATGCTGACGATTGCAACTGATCAGCCACGTCGACCTCGGGATACCACCCCGAGGTCGGCCTCGCCACGAACACCTGGGCGACGGTCGTGTGCCTCCGCAAAAAACCCGTCGTTCGGGTAACCTAGTCGACCGGGTAACCACCACGTCGACCAGCTCCTCCTTGTGCCCGTCGACCACCCAGGTCGACGACCCCCCCCCCTGGTCGACCGCACGAAGTCGACCACGCACCTCGTTGACCAGCTCCAGGCCGACGACACTCCTGGTCGGCCAACTCCAGGTCGACCAGCACACCCGTCAGCCGACCACCCAAGTCGGCTGCCCCAAGTCAGAGTCACCAAGTCGATGCCCTCCACAGGTCGACCTCACTAGTTGACCTCCCGAAGTCGGTGCCCTCCCAAAGTCGGCGCTCTTGCAGTGGCCCCTATACAGGCCGACTAGTCTCGTCGACCAGCTTGCCCACTGCTGCAGGTCGGCTGCATCTCCCGCGCACCCGACCACGAGGTCGGCTCTGCCCAAGCAAGGACGGGGCCTAACACAACTCCCGTTGACAGGGCTCAACCATCCCGCCTGATGCTCCCCCTCCCAATCCGCTCCACCTGCCCCTGCCAGTAGCCATTCCTCCAGCCCCTCCTCCTACCCCCCCTGCCCCCCCTTCGCCTGGCATTTGAATCCCCCCGCCTGCCCCCCACCCCCCTCCTTGTTGCGGAAACCCATTCCCCCCCCTCCCCGCGTACCACCCTCCAGCGGCCCCTTGCTACCCCCATCCCCCTCCCTGCGCACCCCCCATCCTATCGCAGCTAGCCAGCTACCGCGGCCCTCCCCCATCTTTCCTCCAGTCCCGCCTGCCAGAGCCCTGCCACCCACCTGCCGCGCCCACAAACTGGCGCCGATCCCCAAACCGTCCCCCAGCGCCTCCCCACTCCCCCCTACCCATTGCACCCCCGCGCGCGCCTCACTGGTCTGTTGGTGCAACCTTACAGTTTGCACTCAGCTTGTTGTCCGTATGCGTGCATGCGTGTGTGCATGGGATAGTATGAGATAATAATTCTTTCATGCTTGTAATAGTATGTGATTGATGAGATATGATGGTGAATGTGTGTGTCGAGTCAATCGCGAGTTATCGCAACTCGCGTGTCACGTTGTGGTTTGCGTGTCGTGTGCGGTTTCCTATTTTGTCGTGTGTCGAACGCCCGACATGTCGCAGGTGTGTGCAGCAAACTCCTAAGAACTCAAGGATGAGTTTATGGTGAAAAACCAGAGCCTTGGTTTCAAGATTCAGGTGTTCTCGAAGCTCGCCAAAAGGGGTGAACTTCGAGATATTGAAAATAGTTACATTACAATGTGTACTGTAACATTTCTCTTGGTGTAGGCCCTTCTAGAGGGTAGTTTCAAGACTCTTCGTGGTCGGGGACAGTGTGGCACTATTCGACATAACTGTATCTCGGCTCTTGGGGTTTCTAGAGGCTGGGATTCCTTCCCAACTCGTAACTCTTCCTAATTTGTGTTCTAAGAATATAGTGGCTGCCATAGTGCCGTTCGTTCAAACTAATGTTGCGTCGTCAATTCATAATGAAATTGTGCAACCTAAACTGCCTGTTGTACACAACCTCAAGACGCTCCAGATCCAAGTTAAAGCAGGTCATTTAGAGCTGTGACTAGAATGCTATGAACGCTTAAAGTTGCCGTGCAGAAATCCGACTGTGCACTCTATCTTTCGATTTTAGGCACATTCAAGCCTATTGTGACTATAACAAGTGGTATCAGAGCGCCTTGGAGAAAGGGGTGACAGAGGTGCTGCCTTGGAGAAAGGGGTGACAGAGGTGCTAGAGGCAGTGGAGAAGCCCAAGCACAAGGTCAACCCCGTGATTCAGCCATGGCGCCCGTGCAACCTACTCTTGGACCTTCTAGGGATGAACCAAGAGTGTTCGGACTTGACAAGTTCAATGGCAACAACTTTGCTAAATGATCCTTCATGATGGAGAACGTATTCGACCGCTATGACCTGCTGGAGGTGATGGAATTAATGGAGAAGCACCCCGAGAACGACCTGGAGAAGAGCCCATGGGTGCGGAAGAGCGCACAAAACTATCTCCTACTTGGGCAAGCGTTGGGGAGCAGCCAAATCCGTCACATCAAGCCATTCCAGCGTGAACCAGAGAAGGGATCAAAGGCATGGGCATGGGTGTACATGCTCCTGCAATAGCGGCGGTAGTGGTGGTGTTGGAACGGCAAATGGCGACACTACAAATTGAAGAGGATGAACCCGTTGAAGAAGGGGTGCAGAAATTCTTCGACTTGTTGACGCGGCTTGGGGGAGCTGATTTGAAGTACAGTGAGCTCCAAAACAAGACCAAGTTGCTGGCCCTACTCCCTGAGTTTTGGTCCTCGCTCATCATCAACATGAATCTCGACTTGCCCCGCCTCTCGCTTGAAGACGTGAAGCGAGCGATCCTTCAAGAGGTTCTCCGCCGCCCTGAGTTGGCGGGTGCGGATGGCGCTGAGGCAACAAGCATCGGCCGTGGATATGGCCGTGGAAGGGGCAGAGGACGAGGAGGAGGCAGATTTGGTGGCAGCAACTTCAGTGGAGGCCGCGGAAACAGTAATTACGGCAATGACAACAAGAACTGTGGTCGCAGTCGCAAACGATTTGACGGCGAGTGACACTTTCGCCACAAAAGCGGACACATGTGGCGTGATTGCTACAAACTCCCTGATGGATGGACCCCCGCACAAGGCCAAGAGGGTAGAGGAGCAGGTGGAGGTAGAGGAAGAGGCCGTGAGGTCGTGGCGGTCGCGGAGGTGGTGCTGCAAATAAGAAGTGTGGAGACAACGAGAGCGACGATCGACGATTGCTTCCCGTGCCAATTCTTCTACGTCTCGATGCAAGCACTGGCTGCACCAGAGAAGGATGAAGGCTTTGAGGAGCCAGCAGCTGTGGGAAAGGTCACCCTACACTCCCTAGACTATTGGGTGATTGATAGTGGCGCTTCCTAGCATGACCCCTCGCGCGGACTTGCTCAACGAACTTGAACCGTCACTGGTGAAGCGTGTCACATCGGCTTTGGGGCAGCGAGCAGAGGTGAAAGGCATAGGCAATGCGATGTTCAAGGGTGCTGATGGGAAGATGGTGGGCCTCAAGAACATGCTTTGGATGCCCAGCCTTGCAGCCAACCTGATTTCCGTGCCGCGGTTGCAAAAGGCCGGCATGGACACGAGCTCGAAAGGAGCCAAGATTTACATCGCAAGACTTGGCGAGCGGATTCTTTGGGACCTCCACGAGGACAAGGATGTTTACAATGAGATGTGGCAGATCTCTGTGGTCCCAATGCCTAAGAAGAGGCAAGTGGCAGCAAGTGTCAGCACCAAGGGTGAAGCGGTTGGTAGCGTCGATGGCACCAATGACGGTGCCAAGAAGAACGAGTCAAAGAAGAGCAATCTTGGAGGGTCCAGCAAGTTGTGTGATCATAAGGAGAGCGGTGTAGCAGCGAAGGAGCAACAAAAGGGTGAGGAGAACCCCAAGGCACCAGCGGAGGAGGAGCACGGAGAGAGCATGTGGGGCACTATTGCGAGTGCGGCATTCTCCAATCCGACTTCGGCTACGGGGGAGTGTGATTGGTTGACTTTGCATCGGCGAATAGGGCATGTTGCCCTGCCCATCTTGCAGCAGCTAGTGAAGGAGGGAGATGGTTGCTGGCATATGAGTGAAGGGGGAGCCCAATGAGGTACTTGGCTGTCCGACGTGTATGCAAGCCAAGTCCACTCGTTTCCCGTTCTCTAGTTCGGAGGCAACGGCTAAGGCACCACTTGATGGGGTGGTGATGGACGAGGTGGGCCCATTGAAGCTAGAAGCTGCTGGAGCAGAGCATTTCCTCACCATTATCGACGTCTACACCCGAATGACCTGGGTGTACGTGCTGTCCAAGAAGAGCGACGTGGCTGAAACAGTGAAAACCGATTGGTTGCCGATGATGGAGTGGCAACAAGACCGGCTTGTGAAAGCAATTTGCACCGATCGAGGGGGAGAGTTCCTGAGCAAGGAGTTCTCTATGTGGCTGAAGAAGAATGGTATAAGGCACTCCATTACCATGCCATACTCCCCTGCAATGAATGGCATCGCCAAGCGAGCGAACCAGACAATCACGGAGACGGAACGCGGGTTGCTCATTGAAGCCGGGCAACCCGACTACTTCTGGCCTGATCCGGAGCGGAGTGCGTGTGTGGCCAAGAACAAAGCCTTGACTCATGGGGGAGTAAACAGATGGGAGCCCTATTTGGAGTGGATTGGAAGGAAGCCAAAGGCGGATATGCTTCGGGTGTTCGGGCGCATGTGCATGGCGCTCGTGCTTAAGCATCTTCAGCACAACAAGTTTGGTGCCAAGGCGATATGGGCTGTGCACTTGGGCATGGCTCAAAGCAGAAAGG